TGAGTCGTAAGTCAACTATTCACGAAACCCCCACCCCCACCTATCAGTTATGCCGTCTCCCTGAAGTCCAAATTCTTAGTGTCCCGAAAAATATCGAGACTCTTATCAAAATCCTGGTCCTCCGCTCCTTCGAGTGGTCCAGAAAGACGACAATGAATATTTTCGGCTTCCGCAAGTATTTCTAATCGTAAGTCAACCACTTACAAAGTGCCAGTATCCGCCCACTCCTTGTGCCGTCTCCCAGAAGTCCAGATTCTTGTGTCTCGAAAAATATCAATGTTCTCATTAAAATCCTGGTCCTTCGTTCCTTGGAGTGGTCCAAGTAGCCAATAATGGGTGTACTCACGAAGCTCTTGCTCCCGTCTATCCCCAATACCGTTTCCCTGAAGTCCAAATTTTTAGTGTCCCGAAATATGTCGAGATACTTGTTAAAAAGCCTGTTCCTCTGCTCCTTCGAGTGGTCCAGAAAACTAACAATGCAGACTTCGGCTTCTGCAGATACATTGAGTCGTAAGTCAACTATTCACGAAACCTCCACTCCTATTTATCAGTTATGCCGTCTCCTTGAAGTCCAAATTCTTAGTGTCCCGAAAAATACCGAGATTCTTATCAAAATTCTGGTCCTCCGCTCCTTCGAGGGGTCCAGAAAGACAACAATGAATATTTTCGGCTTCCACAAGTATTTCTAATCTTAAGTCAACCACTTACAAAGTTCCAATAACCGCCCAAACCTTATGCCGTCTCCCAGAAGTCCAGATTCTTGTGTATCGAAAAATATCAAAGTTTCTCATTAAAATCTTGGTTCTTCGTCCTTCTAGTGGTCCAGGTAGCCAACAATGGGTGTTTTTGATTTCTGCATGTACCTTTGGTCGCAAGGCAGCTACTCACGATGCTTTCGCTCCAATAAGGTTTCTCCTAAGTCCAAATTTGTGTGTCCCTAAAAATATCGTATTATAATCCTGGTCCTTCGCTATTTCGAGTGGTCCAGAAAGACAACAATGTTTGTGTATGGTGTCTGCAGGTACTTTCAGTCGTAAGTTAGTCATTCACAAAGCCTCCACCCCCATCCACTCGTTATGCCGTCTCCATGAAGTCCAAATTATTAGTGTCCCGAAAAATATAGAGATTCTTATTAAAATCCTAGTCCTCCCCTCTTTTGAGTGGTCCAGAAAGACAGCAATGAATATTTTCGGCTTTTGCAAGTACTGCTAATCGTAATTCAAGCATTCACAAAGTTCCCACCCCCGCCCACCCTTTGTGCCGTCTCCCAAAAGTCTAAATTTTTGTGTCCCTAAAAATATGGTATTAAAACACTTGTCCTTCGCCCTTTTGAGTGGTCCAGGTAGTCAATAATGGGTGTTTTCGGCTTTTGTAAGTACTTTTAGTTGTAAGTCAGCCAATTTCAATTTTGGTCTCATTTACACCGTCCCTCTGAAGTCCAAATTCGTAATGTCCCGAAATTGAACGGGATTCTTATTAAAATCCTGGTCCTCCGCTATTTCGGGTGGTCCAGAAAGGCAACAATGTTTGTGTGTGGTGTCTGCAGGTACTTTCAGTCGTAAGTCAGCCACTCACGAAGCTCTCACCTCCACCCACCCGTTATGCCGTCTCCATGAAGTCCAAATTCTTAGTGTCCTGAAAAATATCGAGATCCTTATTAAAATCCTGGTCCTCCGCTACTTCGAGTGGTCCAGAAAGACAACAATGTATGTTTTCAGCTTCCGCAGGTAGTGCTAATCGTAATTCAAGCATTCACAAAGTTCCCACCCCCCTCACCCTTTATGCCGTCTCCCAAAAGTCTAAATTTTTGTGTCCCTAAAAATATGGTATTAAAATCCTGGTCCTTCGCCCTTTTGAATACTCCAGGTAGTCAACAATGGGTGTTTTCGGCTTCTGTAGGTACTTTTAGTCGTAAGTCATCCACTTTCAACTTCGTCCGCCTTTTACATCGTCCCTTTGAAATCCAAATTCGTAATGTCCCGAAATTTAACGGGATTCTTATTAAAATCCTGGTCCTTCGCTCCTTTAAGTGGTCCAGAAAGACAACAATGTTTGTGTGCAGTGTCTACAGGTACTTTCAGTCGTAAGTCAGCCACTCACGAAGTTGCTATTTCCATCCACCCCTTATGCCGTCTCCCTGAAGTCCAAATTCTTAGTGTCCCGAAAAATATCGAGATCTTTATTAAAATCCTGGTCCTCCGGTCCTTCGAGTGGTCCAGAAAGACAACAATGTATGTTTTCAGCTTCCGCAGGTAGTGCTAATCGTAATTCAAGCATTCACAAAGTTCCCACCCCCCTCACCCTTTATGCCGTCTCCCAAAAGTCTAAATTTTTGTGTCCCTAAAAATATGGTATTAAAATCCTGGTCCTTCGCCCTTTTGAATAGTCCAGGTAGTCAACAATGGGTGTTTTCGGCTTCTGTAGGTACTTTTAGTCGTAAGTCATCCACTTTCAACTTCGTCCGCCTTTTACATCGTCCCTTTGAAATCCAAATTCGTAATGTCCCGAAATTTAACGGGATTCTTATTAAAATCCTGGTCCTTCGCTCCTTTAAGTGGTCCAGAAAGACAACAATGTTTGTGTGCAGTGTCTACAGGTACTTTCAGTCGTAAGTCAGCCACTCACGAAGTTGCTATTTCCACCCTCCCCTTATGCCGTCTCCCTGAAGTCTAAATTCTTAGTGCACCGAAAAATATCGAGATCTTTATTAAAATCCTGGTCCTCCGCTCCTTCGAGTGGTCCAGAAAGACAACAATGAATGTTTCGGCTTCCGCAAGTACTGCTAATCGTAATTCAAGCATTCACAAAGTTCCCACCCCCGCCCACCCTTTATGCCATCTCCCAAAAGTCCGAATTCCTGTGTTCCTAAAAATATCGTACTAAAATACTGGTCCTTCACCCTTTTGAGTGGTCCAGGTAGTCAACAATGGGTGTTTTCGGCTTCTGTAAGTACTGTTAGTCGTAAGTCAGCCACTTTCAACTTCGTCCGCCTTTTACATCGTCCCTTTGAAATCCAAATTCGTAATGTCCCGAAATTTAACGGGATTCTTATTAAAATCCTGGTCCTTCGCTCGTTTAAGTGGTCCAGAAAGACAACAATGTTTGTGTGCAGTGTCTACAGGTACTTTCAGTCGTAAGTCAGCCACTCATGAAGTTGCTATTTCCATCCACCCCTTATGCCGTCTCCCTGAAGTCCAAATTCTTAGTGTCCCGAAAAATATCGAGATCCTTATTAAAATTCTGGTCGTTCGCTCCTTCGAGTGGTCCAGAAAGACAACAATGAATGTTTTCGGCTTCCGCAAGTACTGCTAATCGTAATTCAAGCATTCACAAAGTTCCCACCCCCGCCCACCCTTTATGCCGTCTCCCAAAAGTCCGAATTCCTGTGTTCCTAAAAATATCGTACTAAAATACTGGTCCTTCACACTTTTGAGTGGTCCAGGTAGTCAACAATGGGTGTTTTCGGCTTCTGTAAGTATTGTTAGTCGTAAGTCAGCCACTTTCAACTTCGTCCGCCTTTGACATCGTCCCTTTGAAATCCAAATTCGTAATGTCCCGAAATTTAACGGGATTCTTATTAAAATCCTGGTCCTTCGCTCCTTTAAGTGGTCCAGAAAGACAACAATGTTTGTGTGCAGTGTCTACAGGTACTTTCAGTCGTAAGTCAGCCACTCACGAAGTTGCTATTTCCATCCACCCCTTATGCCGTCTCCCTGAAGTCCAAATTCTTAGTGTCCCGAAAAATATCGAGATCCTTATTAAAATTCTGGTCCTCCGCTCCTTCGAGAGGTCCAGAAAGACAACAATGAATGTTTTGGGCTTCCGCAAGTACTGTTCATCGTAATTCAACCATTCACAAAGTTCCCACCCCCCGCCCACTCTTTATGCCGTCTCCCAAAAGTCCAAATTCTTGTGTCCCTAAAAATATCGTCTTAAAATCCTGGTCCTTCGCTCTTTTGAGTAGTCCAGGTAGTCAACAATGGGTGTTTTCGTGTTCCGCAAGTACTTTTAATCGCAAGTCAGCTACTTTCAACTTCGTCCGCCTTTTACACCGTCCCTGTGAAATTCAAATTCTTAGTGTCCCGAAATCTAACGAGATTCTTATTAAAATCCTGGTGGTCCGCTATTTCGAGTGGTGCAGAAAGACAATAATGTTTGTGCGTCGTGTCTGCAGGTACTTCCAGTCGTAAGTCAGCCACTCACGAAACCGCTGTTTCCACCCACCCCTTATGCCGTCTCCCTGAATTCCAAATTCTTAGTGTCCCGAAAAATATCGAGATCCTTATAAAATCTTGGTCCTCCGCTCTTTCGAATGTTACAGAAAAATAACAATGGATGTTTTCAGCTTCCGCGAGTACTGCTCATCGTAATTCAACCACTCACAAAGTTCCCACCCCGCCCACCCTTTATGCGGTCTCCCAAAACTCTAGATTCTTGTGTCCCTAAAAATATGGTATTAAAATCCTGGTCCTTCGCTATTTCGAGTGGTCCGGAAAGACAACAATGTTTGTGTGTGGTGTCTGCAGGTACTTTCAATCGTAAGTCAGTCACTCACGAAGCCCCCACCCCCACCCACCCCTTATGCCGTCCAAATTTGTAGAGTCCCGAAAAATCTCGAGATTCTTATTAAAATCTTGGTCCTTGGCTCCTTCGAGTGCTCCAGAAAACCAACAACGGTTGTTTTCGGCTTCCGCAAGTAATTTTAGTTGCAAGTCAGCTACTCATGAAGCTGCCGTCTCTCCCCGCCGCTTATGCCGTCTCCCCGAAGTTCCAATTCCTGCTGTCCCTCAACATATCCAAATTCCTTGCAGCTCCGTCTAGACGTCTCTTTAAAAATTCACCCGAAGCATCAGCCAACTCTCGTAATCTATTTATCGATTCGACCCCGGCCGCCCCTTCGCCGCCCCCACGATAACCCCATCCGTTCGCCTTATCTCGTATGCGTTTTTTCCTCCGCCAGCGCCGTTGCACAATTAGCATCTAAACTGTCTCAACTGCAGGGACCCGGCGCGTTGCCACCCCCGTGACGCCGCACCCGCCCTCGTGGGGGCTGGGGACGACGACGCTCAGCGGCATCACCGACGCCCGGCCCAGGATGTTGACCGACGGGATCGATTCCGACTGGAGCGGGCTGCACACGACGGACAGGAACTACCTGAACGGACACAACCAGGAGGGGCAGGTGGACATGCTGGACATCCCGGGCAAGGGGAGGTGTTCGGTGTACATCGCCAGGTAAATAAGACAGGTGACGGCGCTAACTCGGGTTTGGTATTTGCCCCGATTAGGTTCTATTTATAACAAGCAAATCGAACAAAACCCCACTATTAACACAAAGGACAGCCCTTTTTATACTCGGGCTCCCAAATGAAAATCCGATAATTGATTTCTCGTTGGGTCGCCGTGTTACCGATAACCCTCGTAAGAGCTTCCTATTGACACAGTCTGCAACCTAGATTCTCCTACGAGCCGGAGCCGGACGCCGAGGAGGAGCTCAACATCCAAGCGGGGGACTACCTCCTGGTGTGGGGGGACCCGGTGGGGCCCGGGGGGTACCTGGACGCCGAGCTGCTGGACGGGCGGCGCGGGTTGGTCCCCTCGCACTTCGTGCAGCGGCTGATCGGGGACGACCTCCTGGAGTTCCACCAGGCGGTCTTGAGCACGCTGCGCGAAGAGGAGATCAACCAGGAGAACTTCGCCGCGGACGTGCAGAGGCTGAACGAGATGGCGGAGATGTCGGAGACGCACGAGGAGGACGGACCTGAAGGTGAGGAAGGTAGGCTTTGCATGGTAGAAGTGTAGAGTAGGCTGTGGCCCATATAGTCAAAGGTAAATCTAGTCAGCTCGAGGTTAAATGCAATTAGAGATTAGAGTTGATGATGTAGAGGTTCTAGGTTAGAGGAGGTAGAGTTTTAGAGGGGTAGGGGTGGGTAGCGGATGATTGATTGCATTTAATTGATTAGACGGTTTGTAGAGAGCGGTTTAAGGCGACTGATTGAGTTTGGGGATGATCGCGAACATGATCAGTCGCCTTAAGTTTTGACTTTAACTATAGCAGTTATTCTTTCGTGGCAATTAGTGCTGAAGGAGTAGAATCGTTACAATGTAGATGCAAGAGCTTGGCAAAGGACTTAGGCGACAGGTGAATTCGGGGACCCTTCTTAAGGTTTTTCGAAGGTGACTCCAGGTACTAAAATTGTAGTCCTAGTTGGCGTTGTCCACTTAAGGTGGAACGCTAGACGACGAACGAGTCGTTTATCCCCTTCCAAAAAATTGATGACGTCATCTCAAAATTTTGCCGAATATATTCTATAATTGTGGTTTATGAATGCACTCATAGATTTCAGAATTACTTATACATGCTGACTCAAAAAAATTAATGAATGTTAGTTAAAATCAAGAATGACTCACTCCATTTTCCCGAAAGTTTGGGAAAATATTACTTATTTTGATGACGTCATCACAAAATTTAAAATTTGCCTTAAAATTATATACATATCGTTATTCTAACTTTTAAACTTTTTCTTCGATTTTAAAATGTTTTTATAATACAGTTTCCGTTTTTTTATTTTGTTTAATTTGTCAATATATCGACTTCCAAATTTTTCAGTTTTTCGATTTGCAATTTTTCAACTTTCGATTTTTCAGTCTCAAATTTTAAGTTTTCGATTTTTCAATTTTTCATTTTCTCGCTTTTTTCGATTTTATAATTTTTCGTTTATTCAATTTTTCAAATTTTCATTTTTGATTATTCAGTTCCTGGATTTTCGAATTTTTGAATTTCTCAGATTTGCAATTTTTGGATTTCTGAATTATCCGATTTTTTGTTTCTACAATATTTGGTTTTTTCGATTTTTCAGTTTCTTAATTTTTAATTTTTCGTTTCCTCAATTTTTGAAGTTCATGATTTTTGTTTTCCATTTTTTCGATTTTTTAATTTTCATTTTCACGATTTTATGTGATAATTTTTCGTTTTTCCATTTCCTTTATTTTTTCAATGTTTCTTCGATTTTATAATTTTTCGTTTTTCTCAACTATCGGATTTTCCGATCTTTAATTTTTTAATATTTCTTGTTTTAGAATATGTATTTGTTTTTTTTTATTTTGCACTTTTTCGATTTTCCCGAGTTTCCCAATTTTTAATTTTTCAATTTTTCATTTTCCCGATTTTTGAATTTTCATTTTCTCAATTTTATATAATAATTTTTTGCTTTTTCATTTATTCTATTTTTCAATGTTTCTTTCGATTTCTCGTTTATTCAATTTTTCAAAATTTCAATCTTGAATTTTTCAGTTCCTCGATTTTCGAATTTTTTGCAATTTTTGGATTTCGGAATTATCCGATTTTTGTTTCTACAACATTTGGTTTTTTCGATTGTTCAGTTTCTCAATTTTTAATTTTTATTTTCTCGATTTTATGTAATAATTTTTGTTTTTCCATCTGGTTTTCTCGATTTTGCACTTTTTCGATTTTTCAATTTTTTCTTCATGATTTTAATTTTTCATTTTCCCGATTTTTTAATTTTCATTTTCTCGATTTTATATCATAATTTTTCGGTTTTTCATTTATTTTATTTTTCCAATGTCTTTGGATTTTATAATTTTTCGTTTATTCAATTTTTCAAATTTTCAATCTTCGATTTTTCAGTTTTGCAATTTTTGGATTTCTCAACAAAACAAACGATTTTCCGATTTCTTTAATTTTCAATATTTCGATTTTACAATATTTTGTTTTTTCGATTTTTAAGTTTTTGAATTTTTAATCTTCGAATTTTTCAATTTATCGTCTTCTCAGTTTTTTAAGTTCTTGAGGTTTATTTTTCATTTTCCTGATTTTTTAATTTTCATTTTCTCGATTTTGTATCACAATATTTTGTCTTTTCATTTTCTTAATTTTTATCAATGTTTCTTTCGATTTTATCATTTTTCGTTTATTCAATTCAGCAAATATTTAATCTTTGATATGATATATGATTTTCCGATTTCTTTAATTTTCAATATTTCGATTTTACAATATTTCGTTTATTTGATTTTTAAATTTCTCAATAATCAATGTTTCGATTTTTCAATTTTTCTTTTCTTCATTTTTCAAGTTATTGATTTCCAATTTTTAGATTTTTCAAAATTTTCATTTTATAATTTTTGAATTTCTCAGATTTGAAATTTTTGGATTCCTCAATTATCAATTTTTAAATTTCAGTATTTAATCTTTTGGCTTTTCAATTTTTCTTTTCTTCAATTTTTCAACTCGAACAATTGCATGTTGTAAAATCGAAGAAAAAAAATATGAAAAACTGAAAATTTGTAAAAATAAAGAAATTAAAAACCTAAACAAAAAATTTCAAATTGTAAATTTAAAGAAGTGAAAAATTAAAAAAACGAAAAATTGAAAAAACAAAAAATTATAAAATCGAAACATTGAAAACTCGAAAAACTAACAAAACAAAAAAAAAAGAAAAATTCAAGAATTCTATAGGGGTTATCGGAAAATAAAAATTGCAAACATTTTTGATAATTTTGCTGTTTTATAATTTATTTTTCAATTTTTCTTTTGTTCAATTTTTCAAGATCTGGATTTCCAAGTTTTAAATTTTTTCAAAATTTTCATTTTATAATTTTTCGTTTTTTCATTTCCTTCGATTTCATAATTTTTCGTTTATTCAATTTTTCAAATATTCAATGTTTGATTTTTCAATTCCTCGATTTTCCAAATTTTGATTTTTTCAATTTAGCAATTTTTGAATTTCTCAATTATCCGATTATCCGATTTTTAATTTTTTGGTATTTCTTTTTTACACTTTTTCGATTTTTCATTTTATTAATTTTGAATTTTCCGGTTCCTGAATTTTTCAATTTCTCGATTTTCGAATTTTTGAATTTTTCAGTTTTGCAATTTTTGGATTTCTCAATTATCAGATTTTTCGATTTGTTTAATTTTTAATACATATTTCGATTTTATATTTCGTTCATCGATTTTTAAATTTCAGTATTTATTTTTTTGGTTTTTCAATTTTTCTTTTCTCGAAAAATTACAAATCGAAAAACTGAAAAAACAAAAAAAAATAAAGAATTGTATACAGGTTATCAGAAAATAAAAAAAGCAAACATTTTTGATAATTTTTGCTGTTTTATTTTTTTTCTCTATTTTTCTTTTGTTCAATTTTTAAAGCTCTGGATTGCCAATTTTTAAATTTTCCAAAATTTTCATTTTATATTTTTTCATTTTTTATTTCCTTTATATTTTCAACGTTTCCTTCGATTTTATATTTTCTTAAATTTTAAATTTTTGATTTTTCAGTTCCTTGGTTTTCCAATTTTTATTTTTTCAATTTTTCGTTTTTACAATAATTGTGTTTTTCGATTTTGTACTTTTTCGTTTTCTCAATTTTTTAAATTTTTTCTTAAATTTTTCAGTTTTACAATTTTTGTATTTCTCAATCATCCGGTTTTCCGATGTTCAATTTTTCAGTTTTTCGTTTCCTCAATTTCTCAAATTTTTAAGTTTTTCAATTTTTGTATTTCTTAATTTTCCGATTTTCCGATGTTTAATTTTTCGATATTTCGTTTTTACAATATTTGTTTTCTTCGATTTTTCAATTTTTCGTTTCCTCAATTTTTGAAATTCTTTCTTAAATTTTTCAGTTTTACAACTTTTTTATTTCTCAATTTTCCGAATTTTTCAATATTTCGTTTTTACAATATTTGTTTCTTTCGATTTTGCATTTTTTTGATTTAGTCGTTTTTCAATTTTTCAATTTATCGTTCCCTCAATTTTTTAGGTTCATGATTTTAATTTTTCATTTTCCCGGTTTTATATCATAATTATTCCTCATTTCCTTTATTCTTTAAACGTTTCTTTCGATTTTATAATCTCTCGTTTATTCCATTTTTAAAATTTTCAATCTTTAATTTTTTAATTTCTCGATTTTCGAATTTTTGAATTTTTCAGTTTTGCAATTTTTGCATTTCTCAATTATACCAATTTTTCAATTTCTTTAATTTCCAATATTTTTAAATTTCAGTATTTAATCTTTTGATTTTTCAAGTTCTCGATTTCCAATTGTTAGAATTTTCAAAATTTTCATTTTATACTTTTTCGTTTTTTATTTCCTTTATTTTTTCAACGTTTCTTTGGATTTTATAGTTTTTCGTTTATTCAATTTTTAAATTTTTCAAAATTTGCATTTTACACTTTTTCGTTTTTTCATTTCCTTTATTTTTTTCAACGTTTCTTCCGATTTTATAATTTTTCTTTTATTCAAATTTTCAATATCTGATTTTTCAATTCTTCGGTTTTCCAATTTTTAATTTTTCTAGTTTAGCAAATTTTTGCATTTCTCAATTATCCGATTTTCCATTTTCCAGTATTTCATTTTTACAATTTTTGTTTTTTTCGATTTTGCAATTTTTAGATTTTTCAGTTTCTTAATTTTTAATTTTTCGATTTTTTATTTTTTGTTTCTTGAATTTTTCAACTTCATAATTTTAATTTTTTATTTTCTAGATTTTATATAATTTTCTTTTTTTCAATTTTTGGATTTTTCAGTTATCCGATTTTTCAATTTCTTTAAGTTTTAATATTTCGATTGTTCAATTTTTCTTTTCTTCAATTTTTCAAGATCTGGATTTCCAATTTTTAAATTTTTCAAAATTTTCATTTTATACTTTTTCGTTTTTTCATTTACTCATTTCTTCGACGTTTCTTTCGATTTTTGTATGTTCATTCTTTGATTTTTCAATTCTTCGTTCGAATTTTTGAACGTTTCAAGTTTTTCTAATTTTTAGAGTTCTCAATTATCCCCGACTTTGCGATTTCTTTAATTTTCAATATTTCGATTACGCAATATTTCGTTTTTTCTATTTTGCACTTTTTTGATTTTTAAATTCCTCAATACCTATTTTAATCTTTCGATTTTTTAATTTTTCCTTCTTCAATTTTTCAAGTTCTTGACTTCCAATTTTAGTGACTTCCTATTTTAGATTTTCCGAAATTTTCATTTTAAACTTTTTCATTTTTCAGTTTAACAATTTTGCAATTTTTCCATGTTTTGATTCGAAAAGCAGAAAAATTAAAAATCTAAAAAGTAAAAAAACCTAAAAAATTGAAAAATTAAATATCTCAAAAAACGAAAAATTGCAAAATCAAAAATTGTCACTGAGGAAACGAAAGGTCGAAATATTGATATTTTAAAAATCAAGGAACTTAAAAATAGAAAAAAGTTAATTGAAAAATCCAAAGACTGAAAAGTTAAAAATTGAAATCTCGTTAAATTCTAAATCAAAAAAATGGTAGATTTTCCATTTTTTTTTCTATTTTTGTTTTGCTCAATTTTTCAACATCTGGATTTCCCATTTTAAAATTTTTTATTTTATATTTTTTCGTTTTTTCAATTTGTCAAATTTTCGATCGTTGACTTTTCAATTCCTTCGTTTTCAAATTTGTAATTTTTTTAATTTTGCAATTTTTCGATTTTTCAGTTCCTCAATTTTTACTTTTTCGATTTTTCATATTTTTCACTTTTTCAAGTTCATGATCTTATTTTTTCAGTTTCCCATTTTTTTTTCAGTTTCTCGATTTTATATCATAATTCCTCGTTTTTCATTTCCTTTATTTTTTCAACGTTTCTTTCGATTTTATAATTTTTTAAATTTTCAATCTTTGATTTTCAGTTCCTTGGTTTTCCAATTTCTAATTTTTCAATAATTGTGTTTTCCGATTTTGTACTTTTTCGATTTTTCAGTCTTTCGTTTCCTCAGTTTTTCAAATTCTTCCTTAAATTTTCCAGTTTTACATTTGTATTTCTCAGTTATCCGATTTTTCGATTTCTTTAATTTTCAATATTTCGATTTTAGAATATTTCGTTTTTCGATTTTTAATTTTAGTATTTAATCTTTCGATTTTTCAATTTTTCTTTTCTTCAATTTTACATGATCAGGATTTCCAATTTTTAAATTTTTCAAAATTTCCATTTTATACTTTTTCGTTTTTTCATTTCCTTTACTTTTTCAACGTTTCTTTCGATTTTATAATTTTTCGTTTATTCAATTTTTCCTGTTTCTCAATTTTTCATTTTTCGATTTTCCAATTATTCGTTTCCTCAGTTTTTTATATTCATGATTTTCATTTTCCGGATTTTTTAATTTTCATTTTCTCGATTTGTCATAATTTTTCGTTTTTCATTTCCTTTATTTTGTCCACGTTTCTTTCGATTTAGAATTTTTCATTTATTCAATTTTGAAAATTTTCAATTTTTGATTTTTCAATTCTTCGAAATTCGAATTTTTGAATTTTTCAAATCTTTCTAATTTTTAGATTTCTCAATTATCCGACTTTCGGATTACTTTTATTTTCAACATTTCGATTTTGCACTGTTTTGAATTTTACTTTTTATTTCTTTAATTTTTCAAGTTCTTTACTTCCCATTTTTAGATTTTTCGAAACTTTCATTTTAACCTTTTTCGTTTTTTCATTTTTGATTTTTCAGTTTAACACTTTTGGAATTTTTCCATTTTTTTATTCGAAAAGCTGATAGATTGAAAAATCAAAAACCGAATAAGTAAAAAGTCGGAAAAAATTGTAAATCGAAGCACTGAAGAAACGATAAACCGAAACATTGATAAATTAAAAATCAAGAAACGAAAAATGATAGAATCGTAGAATTCGTAAATTCAAAAAACTGTATACCGAGAGCAAAACCTAAAAACTGAAACACCCAAAAGTGGGAAAATCGGAAAAAATTGAAAAATTGAAAATTGAAGAAACGCAAAAACAAAAAATTATAAAATTGGAACATTGAAAAATCGAATAAAGAATAAAGAAAATAAAAAACCGAAACGACAAAGTACAAATCGAAAAATTGAAGAATTGAAAGATTTAACTCAAAAATTTATCATTTTTCAAAGAAGTAGAATTTGTTGGGCTGCACTTCACTGAGGGAAGTTCTGTCGAAATAAACTTTATTGACTTCATATTAATAATTTTCTAGATACTAGTTTTTTCCACATATGTATCAAACTGCATGGACTAGAAATATTAACAATTATATTACTCCAAGTCTACCAGTTTCTAATACAATAATCGGCACAATAGTGCTTCCAAAGAAGAGTCCTTAGAAATCCTCAAAAATAGCCTACCTGTCGCCTCAATTTTTAGCATTACCATTAGTAAAAGCTCTGATAGGTACATCCTCATGCCAAAGAGTGTAACTATCGCCACCTAGACGCTAACGCTTCTCAAACCAGCTAAATTTAGCGCTTTCGCTTTGGAACCTAGAAACGCTTAGATGCACTGAATGTTCAAATTCTGCTTGCCTTTAGCGCACTGCTATTTCCTCCTTCCATTTTCCCCTTCCCTCCTAACAACCCCCGCCGCAGCCAGTGTTCTCCCTCTTTCTCTCTCTCTCTTTCTCTTTCTGTGTCACTCTTCATCGCCGCCTCCCGACTCGTCACGAGCTGGCTAATTACCTTCGGGACTGGGTAAACCTGCACAATCTAGCTTTTAGAACTGACACAGAATGATCTACAGCTGACCTATTCTTCTCGGTGTTAGTTCCGGCCCCGCGGCAGCTCACCCTCGAGCGCCAGCTCAACAAGAGCGTCCTCATCAGCTGGACGACCCCCGACGTGGGCCCCGGCAACCACATCGAGAGCTACCACGTGTACGTGGACGGCGTGCTCAAGACGACGATCAAGGCGACCGAGCGGACGCGCGCGCTCGTCGAGGGCGTGGAGAGCAACCGGGTAAATCTCGTAAGCCGGCAAAGCGTGCCAGAGTTAACGCCGCCAACTCGACAGCCGCACCGCATCAGCGTGCGCTCGGTGACGGCGAACCGGCGCACCTCGAGGGACGCCGCCTGCACGATGATCATCGGCCGGGACACGCACCAGCTGGGGCCGAGCGCGGTGCGGGCCTCCAACATCACCTCGACGTCGGCGGTGATCAGCTGGCTGCCGGCCAACTCGAACCACCAGCACGTGGTCTGCGTCAACAACGTGGAGGTGCGGACGGTCAAGCCGGGGGTGTACAGGCACACGATCACGGGGCTGGCGCCGAACACGCAGTACAGGGTGACGGTGAGGGCGAAGCACCACAGGGCGGCGCAGAACGTGGCCAATCTGGCGGAGGACCTGCCGATGCCGGCGGCGGCGCACACGGACTTCCGGACGCTGCCGAAGGGGCTGCCGGACCCGCCGAGCGACATTCTGGTGGAACCAGGTAAGCACATCTGAGTTTTGAAGTTTTTAGTTTGTCGGTCCTTATTTTGGACTTCGGGTCCAAAATGCCAAAAGTTTGTGCAAGTGTTCACAGCTAGATAAAAAAGTAGTCTAAAAAGGTAAATAAGGTATCTTTGTGGCGGCACAATAACATGTTGGTAAGCGTAGAAAGATAAGCCGCTCTGTAGTCTAGTGGTAAAGGCACTCACCCGGCAATATTTTTCTTCGCTTACTATGAATTAATTTTGTTGTTTGGGTCGCCTGTGAAACGAAGTTTTCGATAAGTCAGCATATTGGGACAAGCCTTCACAAAAATAAGCTGAAGAATTCTATTAATTCGAAGTCACAAAGTCGACTCGCACAATTTTTCTCTAACACCCAGAAGATGACAGATCAACAAGAATATTGTTTCGAATTGTGTGAAGCCTTCCTCAGTGTCGATATTCCTTTATCAAAACTGGATAACTCCAAGCTACGATCATTTCCCGATGAGAGTGGCTTAAGCAAAAAAAAAGAATAAATTAATAATAAAAATAAATGTAATAAATTTTAATCAATATTAAAAATATTAATCTCTAAATTGTCAAAACCCGAACATCCCCAAATCCTCAAGATACCAAAATTCCCAAATCCTCAAAACACTAAAATCTTCAAATTCTCAAAACACCAAAATCCTGAAATCATCAAACTCTTCAAATCGTATAAATCCATAAATTCTGAAATTCCCCAAATCCTGGAAACACCTAAATCTTGAAAACCTCAAATTCTAATAACACCATAACCCTCAAATCCGCAAAATAACAAAATCCCCAATTCCTTAAAACAAAAAAATCCCCATTGTGAACATTTTCACATCCTCAACATATCACAATCCTCAAATCGTCACAACATCAAAATACCCCAATCCCCAAAACATTAAAATCCTCAAAAACCTCATAACTTCAAAGTACTCAAAACCTCAAACACCAAAATCTACAAAACCTTAAAACATCAAAATTCACAAATTCTCAAAACACCAAAAAATCCCCAAATCATCAAATTATCATAATTTTCTAATCGTCAAAAAGCCTACATCCTAAAAATCCCCAAGACCTCGAATTATCTGAATTCACAAAACATTCAAATTCTCAAAACATCAAAATCTTCGAAAATCTCAAAACACTAAAATACTCAAATACTGAAAACACCAAAATTTCCAAAACTTAAAAACACGAAAATCCTCAAATTTTCAAAACATCTAAATCCTCAGAACTTCAAAACACCAATTTCTTCAAATCCTCATAAGACCAAAATCCCCAAATTCTCAAAACACCGAACAATCCCCGAATCTTCAAAACACCAAAATCCTTAAATACTCAAAACAGCAAAATCCCCAAGTCCCCAAAACATCAAAACACCAAAATTCCCCAAAAACCTCAAAACACCAAAATTTCCAAATCCCCGTAACACCAAAATTTTTAAATCCTCAAAGCATCACAATTGTCAAAACTTCAAAATCCCCAAATCGTCAAAATAGTAAAATCCCTAGATCATCAAAATATCTAAATCCTCAAAAGATCAAAATCTACTAATCGTCAAAATCCTCAAAATTTCCAAATCCTCGAAATACCTAAATCCTTAAATCCTCAACATATCACAATCTTCAAATCGTCACAATATCATCACAATATCAAAATCCCCAAATCCTCTAAACATTAAAATCCTCAAAAACCTCGAAACACCAAAATACTCAAAATCCCCAAAATCTCGAATCGTCTGAATCCTGAAATTCCCAAAAGATTAAAATCCTCAAAAATCTCAAAACAGCAAAATACTCAAATCCTAAAAATATCAAAATTCCCAAAATCTCAAAACATCAAAATCCCCAAATCCTCAAAACACCAAAAACCCCAAATATTCGAAACACCAAAATCCTCAAATCCTTAAAACATCTAAATCCTCAGAAGCTCAAAACACTAAAATCCCCAAGTTCTCAAAACACCAAAAAATCCCCAAATCTTCAAACATCTTCTAATCGTCAAAATCCCTAAATTTTCAAAATCCCCAAAATCTCGAATCGTCTGAATCCTGAAATTCCCCAAAGATTAAAATCCTCAAAAATCTCAAAACAGCAAAATACTCAAATCCTAAAAATACCAAAATTTCCAAAATCTCAAAACATCAAAATACCCAAATCCTCAAGACACCAAAATCCTTAAATCCTCAAAACAACAAAATCCCCAAATCCTTAAACACCAAATTTCTCAAATCCTCTTAACACCAAAATCCCCAAATCCTCAAAACACCGAAGAATCCCCGAATCTTCAAAACACCAAAATCCTCAAATACTCAAAACAGCAAAATCCCCAAGTCCCCAAAACATCAAAACGCCAAAATCCCCCAAAAACCTCAAAACACCAAAATTTCCAAATCTCCGTAACATCAAGATTTTCAAATCCTAAACCATCACAACTGACAAAACTTCAAAATCCCCAAATCGTCAAAATAGTAAAATCCCCAGATCATTAAAACATCTAAATTCTCAAAAGATCAAAATCTACTAATCGTCAAAATCCTCAAAATTTCCAAATCCTCAAATCCTCAACATATTACAATCTTCAAATCATCACAATATCAAAGTCCCCAAATCCTCTAAACATTAAAACTTTCAAAAACTTCAAAAGTTCAAAATACTCAAAACCTCAAAATACCAAAATCTATAAAACTTTAAAACATCAAAATTCCCAAATTCTCAAAACACCAAAAAATCCCCAAATCATCAAAACATCATAATTTTATAATCGTCAAAAAGCCTAAATCCTAAAAATCCCCAAGACCTCGAATCATCTGAATTCACAAAACATTAAAATTCTCAAAACACCAAAATCTTCAAAAATCTCAAAACACCAAAATACTCAAATCCTGAAACACCAAAATTTCCAAAACTTAAAAACACGAAAATCCTCAAATCTTCGAAAACATCAAAATCCCCAAATCCTTAAACACCAGTTTCCTCAAATCTTCATAACACCAAAATCCCCAAATTCTCAAAACACCGAAAAATCCCCGAATCTCCAAAACACCAAAATCCTTAAATACTCAAAAGAGCAAAATCCCCAAGTCCCCAAAACATCAAAACACCAAAATTTCCCAAAAACCTCAAAACACCAAAATTTTCAAATCCTCAAAGCATCACAATTGTCAAAACTTCAAAATCCCCAAATCGTCAAAATAGTAAAATCCCTAGATCATCAAAATATCTAAATCCTCAAAAGATCAAAATCTACTAATCGTCAAAATCCTCAAAATTTCCAAATCCTCGAAATACCTAAATCCTCAAATCCTCAACATATCACAATCTTCAATTCATCACAATATCAAAATTCCCAAATCCTCTAAACATTAAAATCCTCAAAAACTTCCAAAATACTCAAATCCTCAAAACACCAAAATCCCCAAGTTCTCAAAACACCAAAAAATCCCCAAATATTCAAAACATCATGATCTTCTAATCGTCAAAATCCCTAAATTTTCAAAATCCCCAAAATCTCGAATCGTCTGAATCCTGAAATTCCCAAAAGATTGAAATCCTCAAAAATCTCAAAACAGTAAAATACTCAAAAAATGCTAAAAATACCAAAATTCCCTGAATCCCAAAACATCAAAATCCCCAAATCCTCAAGACACCAAAATCCTTAAATCCTCAAACACCAAATTCCCTAAATCCTCAAAACAAAATCCCAAACTCCTCATACACCAAATTCTTCAAATCTTCAAAACACCAAAATCCTCAAATGCCCAAAACCTCTAAATCCTCAAATCATAAAATCTTCAAATCGTATAAATCCATACATTGTCAAATTTCCCAAATTCTCGAAATACCTAATTCCTCAAATTTTCAGAACACCAAAATCCTCAAAACATTAAAATCCTCAAAACACCAAAATTCCCAAAAAACCTCAAAACACCAAAATCTCCAAATTCTCAACACTAAAATCGACAAAAACCCTTATATTACTAAAATCCCCAAATTCTCATAGCACCAAATTTTTGAAATCTTCAAAGCATGAAAATTCTCAAAATTTCAAAATTGCCAAATCGTCAAAACACTAAAATCCCCAAATCGTCAAAACAGTAAAATTCCCAAATCCTCAGAACATCTAAATCCTCAAATCCTCAACACATCAAAATCCTCAAATCGTCAAAACACCAAAATCCCCAAAAAACCTCAAAACACCAAAATCTCCAAATTCTCATAGCACCAAAATTTTTGAATCTTTAAAACATCAAAATTCTCAAAACTTCAAAATTGCCAAATCGTCAAAACACAAAAATCCCCATATCGTCAAAACAGTGAAATTCCCAAATCCTCAAAACATCTAAATCCTCAAATCTTCAAAAATCAAAATTTTCTAATCGTTCAAATCCCCAAATCCTCAAAATTCCCAAATGTTCGAAACACCAAAAGCCTTAAATCTTCAACACATCAAAATCCTCAAATCGTCAAAACACCAAAATCCCCAAATCCTCAAAACATCAAAATTCTCAAAAACTCAAAACACCAAAGGACCCAAATCCTCAAAACATCAAAATTCCCAAAACCTCGAAACGTCAAAATCCCCAAATCCTCAAAACACCAAAAACCCCAAATGTTCGAAACACCAAAATCCTCAAATCCTTAAAATATCTAAATCCTCAGAAGCTCAAAACACTAGAATCCCCAAGATCTCAAAACACCAAAAAATCCCCAAATCTTCAAAACATCATAATCTTCTAATCGTCAAAATCCTTAAATGTTCAAAATCCCCAAAATCTCGAATCGTCTGAATCCTGAAATTCCCAAAAGATTAAAAAAAATCTCAAAACAGCAAAATACTCAATTCTTAAAAATACTAAAATTCCCAAAATCTCAAAACATCAAAATCCCCAAATCCTCAAGACTTCAAAATCCTTAAATCCTCAAAACAACAAAATCCTCAAATACTCAAAACCTCTAAATCCTCAAATCATCAAAATCTTCAAATCGTATAAATCCATTAATTCTCAAATTCCCCAAATTCTCGAAATACCTAAATCCTCAAATTCTCAAAACCCTTAAATCCTCAAAACACCAAAATCTCCAAAAAACCTCAAAACACCAAAACCTCCAAATTCTCAAAACTAAAATCGACAAAAATCCCCATAACACCAAAATTCCCAAATTTTCATAGCACCAAAATTTTGGAATCTACAAAGCATCAAAATTCTCAAAACTTCAAAATTGCCAAATCGTCAAAACATGAAAATCCCTAAATCCTCAAAACATCGAAATCCTCAAAAATCTTCAGATCGTCAGATCTTCAAAACACCAAAATCCCCAAATTCTCTAAACACCAAAAACCCCAAATGTTCGAAACACCAAAATGCTCAAATCCTCAAAACACTAAAATTCTCAAATCCTCAAAACATCTAAATCCTCGGAAGCTCAAAACACCAAAATCCTCAAATCCTCAAACACCAAATTCCTCAAATCCTCATAACACCAAAATCACCAAATGCTCAAAACATCAAAATCTTCTAATCGTCAAAATCCCCAAATTCTCTAAATTCCTAAATATTCAAATTCACCAAATCCTCGAAACATCTAAATACTCAAATCCTCAAAACACGAAAATCCTCAAATTCCCAAAACAACAAAATTTTCAAATCCTCAAAATATCTAAATCCTCAGAAGCTCAAAACACTAAAATCCTCAAATTCTCAAAACACAAAAATCCCCAAATTTTCAAAACACCAAGTTCCCCAAATCCTCAAAACACCAAAATCCTCAAATGCTCAAAACATCAAAATCTTCTAATCGTCAAAATACCTAAATTCTCAAAATCCCTAAATCTTCAAAATCCCCAAATCCTTGAAATATCTAAATACTCAAATCCTCAAAACCTCTAAATTATCAACACCAAAATCCTCAAAACACCAAAATCTCCAAAAGTCCTCAAAAGACCAAAATTCCCAAACCCTCAAACACCAAAATTTTCAAATCAGCAGAGCATCAAAGTCATCAAAACTTCAAAATCCCCAAAACGTCAAAATATCAAAATTCTTAAATCCTCAAAATTTTCAAATATTCAAAATCTTGATTTTCACTTCTCATTTTCTCGACTTTTTTATTTTCATTTTCTCGATTTTATATCACGGTTTTTCGTGATTTTCATTTTATAATTTTTCAATTTTTTAATTTTATAATTTTTGGTTTTCTCAATTAGTATCCGGTTTTTCGATTTCTTTAATTTTCAGTATTTCGATTCTACAAGATTTCCTTCTTTCGATTTTTGAATTTTTCGTTTCTTTAATTTTTCAAGTTTTTAGTTTTCAATTTTGAGATTTTTCGAGGTTCTCATTTTACTCTTTCGTTTGTCCATTTTTTACTTTTCAATGTTACAGTCCTGCAATTTTTCCAATTTTTCGATTCGAAAGTTTGAAAAATCGAATAACTCAAAAATCGGAAAAAATTGAAAAATCGAAAAACTGAAAAAAATACAAAATCGAAAAAGTGGAAAATTGAAAAATTGCAAATTGAAGCACTGAAGAAACGGAAAAGTGAAACATTGAAAACAAATTTGAGAAAAGTTGAAAAATTAAAAATAGAAAAAATGAAAAATGAATAAATGAAATAGTTTTAAGATCCGATAATTGAAAAATGTAATTATTCTAAACCCGTGAAAAAGTGAAATTTTTTTTTGAATTATAATTATTACATACTTAAAATGAAAACTAAAAAATAAAAATGTAAAAATGAATAAAATAAAAAACCGAAATGAAAAATTAGAAATTGAAAATCTGAAGAAATGAAACATTGACGAATCGAAAAATTGAAAATCCAATAAATGAAAAAGTTTTAAATCACCAATTTGATAAAGCGAATACATTTTTTGATTTATAGAAAAATGGCAAATCAAAAAAAATCAAAAATTGATGAAAACAGAAAATTGAAAATTTCGATAAAATTGTACTCTCAAACGTGACTTAAAAAAAATTAACATTATTTATGCCATGAGCTAAGCAATCGGTTATTGTTTTTTCGAAACACAAAAATATGCCTTTTAACCCAAAAGTGACACATTTAGAGGCTTCGTAACAATCTAACCTTGAATAAATTAGACATCCATTGAATGCTCTTTATTAATAAAAATCCATCATCCAGAGTACGTTTTTCAGTGGTTGTTCACCAAATATTCAAAAAACTTCACGAGGTGCCAATTCTGATTATCTTCGGCAACCTTGATGACATCCCGTCCCCACCGATCCAAAGCATCCAGTCTAGCTCCATTTTTAACCAAAAAGCCAGCAATCTCCAAATGTCCCTTTTTGGCGGCGGCATGCAACGGAGTGAACCCATCAACATTAGCAAAGTTGACATCGGCCCCCTTCTCGACCAGATTTCGTACCACCACCAAATTTCCAACCCACACTGCTGTATTAAGAGGGCTGAAACCGTCGTTGCTGCAGATAGCGAGATCGGCTTTCTTTTTGATTAAAAACAGGGCCACGTCTTGGTGGTCGTTCCAGATGGCACTATTCAAGGGCGTGAAGCCATTTCTATCCTCCTGGGCGTTAATGTCGGCGTCCCACTTAATCAACAGTTTGACAATGGCGAGATGGCCCTTGAAGGAACTCGAGTGGAGAGGAGTGTAGTGGTTCATACCATTGCAACTGTTCGGGTCGGCACCGGCTTCTAGGAGGGATTGGGCTTCCTCGAGGTCGCCCAGCCAGCAAGCTTGGTTGAGTTGGGTGAAACCCAGGGAGTTGTGAGGGTCGACGGACTCAGGACATACGGGTCCCTGGAAGCACAATTTAAATAATTATTGAGATTTTCAGATCAGATTATACCGAAATTGTAGACGGGATTGCTTGATTTTCTGCCATCTTGTCGTCTGGAGAACTGCACTGATTGATAACACCAGAGATAATATCTCTGATAACACTCTAACCCAGCGGATCGCAACCATTGGGTCGCGACCCAATTTTGGGTCGCGACACTTTAAAAATGGGTCGCCAATATTTGAAGTGAATCAATGTCGATATACATAGGTATATAGTAATATAGTTGTAATTTCAAAAAATAAATGCTCAAATAAAAATTATTTTTATAGTTATAGTTTGTATCTTATAGAAAAATAACAAATTTTAAAGGCTAAAAATTAATTTTATTTGAGATAGACATTTTGTACCGGTCTTGCAGTTTTAAGTAACCTCCTAACCCCCACACCCCTCCCTCTATCGTATAGGTCGCCTTATAAATCCTGTTAATATTTTTGGGTCGCTAGACAAAAAAGGTTGCGGACCGCTGCAGTCTAACCTTTAATGAGTTCGTAAATCGCTGTTTACACGCCCTACTAAGTTTCCTGTCAGAATCGACCACACCTAGTGATAATGGGATTCCGGTGTATTATACACTGGTTGACGACAATTTTTCAACGACGATGTTGGCTGCCGTTTCGGTGTGGTTTGCGGGACGAACGTGTGTAATTAGAAGATGGTTAGAAATGGTGGTCGTAGAAAGTACTGTTTTTGGGTTTAAGTGCAGGTGGAATTGTTATAAACGCGACTGAAAATTTGTCGACTAGTGTTATTGGTAGTATTACTGGTATTGGTTTGGCTACTAATGAGATAGCGAAAACGCGCCAGATCAGCTGTGAACTCGTCCTAGCTGTGGTTGCGGAATTATAAGGAAAAAATATTATTTTTATTTTTGGAGATTTGAAACTTTTGACTTTTTTTGACTTTAAAAATAACAAAAAATTTTGCTTAGTTAAGTTCAAGTCGATATTTCCAGTTGTTTCACCAAAATTTCCAAAAAGATAAATGGCAAATTTTGACCAATTCTAAAAATTCGAATTTGAACCAACGTATTTCAGAAAGTAGTCACCGTACGAACGTCTCCTTTTTTCTTCATATAGATACGTCATCTGTGTTTCAGTGTGATTTTTTTCATAATTTTTGTCTTGTCCACTTTTCTAGAATCGTACTGAATATGTTCTTTTGGAAAATACTGTCAATAATTCAAAATTTTGATTTCCAACTGTATACTTATTCCGAGACCACAAGTATGTTACATTTTTCGATTTAGCTCGTCTCGATTTACTCCTCAGAATTTTTGGACGATTTTTTGTCGACTTCGAAAAAATCAATTTTTGGAGATTGGATAAAGTTTGAAATTTTTGACTTTCTACTGACGGTCTTCGAGAAATAACAAAAAAATCTCCTGGGTAAAGTTCAAGCTTCTGAAGTTTTTTAAAATGTCCGAAAAGATAAATGTCAAATTTTGACATATTCTAAAAATAAAAAACGTAAACTGCATAAGTTTTTATTTAAGTCCTAGTAAATTTTCACAAGTCACGTGTTCCTTATAAACCATCAAATTATTAAAAACCACTATTGCACCGGATGATTGGGCGCCGCCGCCGCCCCCAACAGCCCCTCCAAATACCCCACCATTTGAAAGTTATTCCGACTCCTCGCCACCTCCAGCGCCGACGCCCCGAACTCCGCCAAATTAGCCCCATGCTTCACCATCATCAGCATTTCCAAAACGCCGCACTTCTCGGCGGCGGCGTGCAGCGCCGTCCACCCGCCGTCCTGGACCATGTTCACGTCGGCCCCCTTCTCCAGCAACAGCAGCACCACCTCGTAGCCGGACTTCAAGCACGCCGACATCAAGGGAGTGTAGCCCTCGGTGCTGCTGAGGTTGGGGTTCGCCCCCTGGTGCAGCAAGTACTTGGCGATGTTCTCGTAGCCCTTCCATGCAGCCGCATTCAAGGCCGTGAAGCCCCTGGCGTTCTGGAGGTCCAGGTTCGCCCCGTGTTTGACCAGAACCTGGACCACTTCGAAGTGGTCGTGCCAGGAGGCGCAGTGGAGGGGCGTCCAGTAACGGTACCGGGCGTCGTGGCAGACGGCGTTGACGTCGTGCCCTTGGCCCAAGAGGGAGACGACTTGGTCTAGGTGGCCCTCTAGAGAGGCGAGGTGGAGAGGGGTTAGGGTCTCGGCCTAAGAAAAAATTTAGGAGCTGAGTGAGCTACGAATGTCAAAAGGACGTACCTGCATTGCTACACTGTTACACTTGTGGAAGCTGATCTGATAATGCACTAAAGTACAGCTTTCAAGGAGAAAGTGCGCACGATTTGTATGCGTCATGCTGTCATTTTCCCGCCAAGACATACCACAACTGATAATAATATTAATAATAAAATGAAATAAGTAGATATGCAAACTATTTATTGAATAACATTGAAATGACGCAATTTTTTTTCCAAACTTCTGGATGGCTTATTTTGAAGTACTTTTTTGGTTTTAGATATGTATTGGTTTTTGAAGGTTTAGTCGTGCTTTCACTGTTAATGAGGTGGATTAAAGAAATTAATAGGAGTAATTAATAACAAATCTAAATTAACCTTGACCTCTCGTTGCTGGTGGATATAATAGTAATCGTTACATTTCCTGTCATCAGCGATAATGTTTACTGTTCTCACGTTCTGCATTGCGTTTTTTATTGCACTTGTAAATTTTTTGCAATGAAATACGAATCTGGCAGGTAGGATTAAATATAATAATAATTATTCGTTTTCATTAAATAATAAATACGTTGTCTAAACCTTTTTCTGCAAGGGTTTTTTGTGATGGAAAATATCTTTCGACATCTTAGTGTTTTGAAATAAGTAGCTCGGTTTATCTGTCAACTCCAGGTATATTAAATATTTGATTTATTGTTGACATAACTTGTTACATATTTACAATACCTGCCTCTGGCTTTAAAAAATATCTTTGAATTCCAGTGTTTTATTACTTATTAGTGTTATTAGTTAATAGTTATTACAAATATTACTATATTTTTCGGTAGCATTTGATTTAGAAGCATTTTTTGGTCCTATTTCCTCGCTTTTTTGTCACCTTCTAGCCGCTTTTTTGTTTTTTTTTCGTTCCCATTTATGTTGTATCTTTGATCGTCATTTCTACCTTTTTTTATCGCCTTCTTTTGTCGTTTTTTAATAAACTTTTTTTACTTTTTTGTTATCTCTCTTTTATGGGTCTTTTGATGTTTTATCGCCCTTTTTTTATTCTTCTTTGTCTCTCTTTGTCTATTTTTGTCGCGGTTGTCTCTTATTTTTGGTTCCTTCTTGTTCAATTTTTTGATTTGTAATTTTAAAGTTTTCGATTTCTCGTTTTAATATTTAATTTTTTAATTTTTCGATTTTTCACTTCTCCGAAATTTAATTTTTCAAGTTTTTGATGTTTTAGTGTCAAGTTTTTCGATTTAAAATTTTTCCTTTATTTCATTTTTGATTTTTCAGTTTTTCAGGCTTTCATGTCCCCAACTTTTCAATTTTTCAGTTTTTTTATTTTTCAAGGTTACACTTTTTCTACTTAAAATGTTTCGTTTATTCAAATTTACAATTTTTCATTTTTTCCATTTTTGGAGTTTCAGTTTTTCCATTTTCCAGTTTGTCAATTTTGAGTTTTATGATTATTCAGCTTCTGAATTTTTCAGTTTTTCGTTTTGTAAATTTTGTGATTTTTTTTTCGTCTTTTTATTGTTCGGTTTTTTGCTTCTGACTTTTTCGATTTTCCACTGTTTGAATTTTTCAATTTTCCATTTCTTAAATTTATCGGTTCGCAGTTTTTCAGTTTCACAATTTTTTTCTTCAATTTTTTGTAGCACTTTTTTGCTTTTTTGTCGCCTCTTTTATACTACTTTTTGGTCGTTTTTTTGCAGTTGTGGTTTTCGTCTTTTTTTTGTTGCCTTTTGTCCTTTTTGGCCCATTTTAACGTCTTTTTTACAATTTTTCTTTTCCCCAATTTTTCATTTCTTCAACTTTTCATTGCCTCAGTTTTTCAATTCTTCACCCTTTCGTATCTTCAAATTTTCATTTTTCGAATTCTGCATTTTTTTCAAATTTTTATTTCTTCAATTTCTCATTTCGTCAATTTTTTATTTCTTCAATTTTTATTTCTCCAATATTTCGTTTCTTAAAATGTTTCATTTTTTTCAATATTTCATGTCTTCATTTTGTTATTTCTTCGATGTTTGATTTCTTTAACTTTGCATTTCTTCAATTTTTCATTTGCTCAATTTTTCATGTCCTAAATTTTTCATTTCTTCAGTTTTTCATTTCTCCAATTTTTCATTTCCTCAATTTCTCATTTCTTCAATTTTTCATTTCCTCAATTTTTCATTCTTCAATTTTTCATTTCTCCAAAATTTTATTTCTTCAATTTTTTGTCACCAGTTTTTGATTTCGTCAATTTTTCATTTCTTCAGTTCTTCTGTCTGCCGTTCGTGGTCTTTTTGAGTAGGTAGCTTTTGTTTTTCTCTCTTTTTTCAACTTTTCATTTCTACAACTTTTAATTTCTTGAATTTTTCATTTCTTCAATCTCTCAGTCCCTTAACTTTTCGCTTTTTTTTTAAATTTCTCATTTCTTCAGTTTTTGTTTTCTTCAAATTTAATTTTTTCAATTTTTATGTCCTAAATTTTTTATTTCCTCAATTCCTCATTTTTTCCGTCTTTCATTTGAATTTTTTTATTTCTTCAGTTTTTTATCTCCCTTTTGTGGTCTTTTTAAGTAGATAGCATTTGTTTGTGTTCCTTTTTTCAACTTTCCGTTTCAACAACTTTTAATTTCTTCAATTTTTCATTTCTTCAATTTCTCGTTTCTTCAGTTTTTCACTTTTTTTTTTAAGTTTCTCATTTCTTCATTTTTTAATTTCTCTAATTTTCCATTTATTCACTCGTTCACTTAATCAATTTCTCATTTCTTCAACTATTCATTTCCGCAGTTTTTCAATTCTTCAATTTTCATTTCTTCTCTTCAATTTTTTTTTCTCTAGTATTTCATTTCCTCAGATTTTCAATTCTTCAATTTTTCATTTCTTCTCTTCAAATTTTTGTTCTCTAAATTTTTCATTTCTTCAGTTTTTCGATTTTTCTGTCTCCATTTTGTCGTCATTTTGCCGTCTTCAAGTTTTCATTTCCTCGGTTTTTTAGTTCTCTAATCTTTCTTTTTTTTTCAATTTTTCATTTCTTCAATGTCTCATTCCTTCAATTTCCCACTTCTTTAATTTCTGATTCCTACAATTTTTCATTTCTTCAATTTCTCATTCCTATAATTTCTTACTTCTTTGATTTTTCATTTTTTCAGTTTTTCATTACTTCAATTTCTTATTTTTTCAACTTTTCATTTCTTCAGATTTTCAATTCTTCAAACTTTCATTTTTTCAATTTGTCATTTTTTCAATTTTTCATTATTTTAACTTTTCATTTCTCCAATTTTTCATTTCCTCAATTTTTATTTCTTTAATCTTTCATTCTAAATTTTCATTTCTTGAATTTTTCACTTCTAGTTCTTATTTATTGAGTTTCTCCAATTTTTCATTTTTCCAATTTTTCATTTGTTACATTTTTATTTTTTTTTTCAATTTTTTATTTTTTCAAATTTTCATTTCTTCAATTTTTTACTTCTTCGATTTGCATTTCTTCAGTTTTTGTTTCCTCCAAATTTTTATTTCTTCAATTTTTATGTCCTAAATTTTATATTTCCTCAATTCCTCATTTTTTCAGTCTATCATTTGAATTTTTTATTCTTCAATTTTTCTTTTCTTCAAATTTTTGTCCTCAATGTTTGATTTCGTCAATTTCTCATTTCTTCAGCTTTTCAGTCTCTCTTTTGTGGTCTTTTTTAGTAGATAACATTTGTTTTTGTCCCTTTTTTCAACTTTCCGTTTCTACAACTTTTAATTTCTTCAATTTTTCACTTCTTCAATCTCTCGTTTCTTCAATTTTTCACTTTTTTAAATTTCTCATTTCTTCTTTTCATTTGCGCAGTTTTTCAATTCTTATATTTTTCATTTCTACTCTTCAAATTTTCTTTTCTCTAGTTTTTCATTTCTTCGCTTTTTCGATTGTTCTGTTTCCCTCTTGTCGTCTTTTTAAGTAGATAGCTTTTGTTTTTCCCCCTTTGTTTTGCTCCTTTTTTAAATACATTTTTTGTGCCTTTTCGCGCTTTTTTAAATCGCCTTTTTTCAACTTTTCATTTCCACAACTTTTCACTTCTCTAATTTTTCATTTCTTCGATTTTTATTTCTTTCAATTTTTAATTTTTTCATGTTCTCATTTGTTCAATTTTTCATTCCTCAATTTTTCGTTTCTCCAAAATTTTATTTCTTCAATCGTTCATTTCAATTTTTCATTCTGCAATTTTTCATTTCTCAAAAATTTTATTTCTTCAATTTTCTATGTCTTCAGTTTTTGATTTCGTCAATTTCTCATTTCTTCAATTTTTTCATTTATTCAGTTTTTCTGCTCTTTTGTGGTCTTTTTGTCCCTTTTTTTATCACATTTTCGCGCCTTTTTTTAACTTTTCATTTCTACATCTTTTCAATTCTTCAAGTTTTCATTTCCTCAGTTTTTTAGTCCTCTAATCTTTCATTTTTTTCAGTTTTTCATTTCTTCAATTTCATATTTCTCCAATTTGTTTTTTTCAATTTTTCATTTCGGTTGTTCAGTGTCGAGATTTTGTTTTCCGATTTTATAACTTTTGTATTTTTCAATCTTTCATTTCTTCAATGTTTCATTTCCTCAATTTTTTGTTTCTGCAAGTTTTCATTTCTCCAATTTTTCATTTCCTCAATTTTTATTTCTTTAATCTTTTGTTTCAATTTTTCATTTGTTCAATTTCTCATTCCTATAATTTCTTACTTCTTTAATTTTTCATTTCTTCAATTTCTTACTTTTTCAACTTCTCATTTCTTCAGTTTTTCAATTCTTCAAACTTTCATTTCTTCAGTTTGTCATTTTTTCAATTTTTCATTATTTTAACTTTTCATTTCTCCAATTTTTCATTTCTTAGATTTTTATTTTTTCAATTTTTAATTTTTTCAAGTTCTCATTTCTTCAATTTTTCGTTTCTCCAAAATTTTATTTCTTCAATCGTTCATTTCAATTTTTCGTTCTTCAATTTTTCATTTCTCAAAAATTTTATTTCTTCAATTTTCTGTCTTCAGTTTTTGATTTCGTCAATTTCTCGTTTCTTCAATTTTTTCATTTCTTCAGTTTTTCTGCCCTTTTGTGATCTTTTTGTCCCTTTTTTATCACATTTTCGCGCTTTTTTTTAACTTTTCATTTCTACATTTTTTCATTTCTTCATGTTTTCATTTCCTCAGTTTTTTAGTTCTCTAATCTTTCTTTTTTTTCAGTTTTTCATTTCCTCAATTTTTATTTCTTCAATCTTTCGTTTCAATTTCTCATTTCTTCAATTTCTCATTCCTATAATTTCTTACTTCTTTAATTTTTCATTTCTTCAATTTCTTATTTTTTCAACTTTTCATTTCTTCAGTTTGTCATTTTTACAATTTTTCATTGTTTTAACTTTTCATTTCTCCAATTTTTCATTTTCTCAATTTTTATTTCTTTAATCTTTCGTTTCGATTTTTCATTTCTTCAATTTCTTATTTTTTCAACTTTTCATTTCTTCAGTTTTTCAATTCTTCAAACTTTCATTTCTTCAGTTTGTCATTTTTTCAATTTTTCATTATTTTAACTTTTCATTTCTCCAATTTTTCATTTCTTAGATTTTTATTTTTTCAATTTTTAATTTTTTCAAGTTCTCATTTCTTCAATTTTTCGTTTCTCCAAAATTTTATTTCTTCAATCGTTCATTTCAATTTTTCATTTCTCCAAAATTTTATTTCTTCAATTTTCTGTCTTCAGTTTTTGATTTCGTCAATTTCTCGTTTCTTCAATTTTTTCATTTCTTCAGTTTTTCTGCCCTTTTGTGAACTTTTTGTCCCTTTTTTATCACATTTTCGCGCTTTTTTTTAACTTTTCATTTCTACATTTTTTCATTTCTTCATGTTTTCATTTCCTCAGTTTTTTAGTTCTCTAATCTTTCTTTTTTTTTCAGTTTTTCATTTCCTCAATTTTTATTTCTTCAATCTTTCGTTTCAATTTCTCATTTCTTCAATTTCTCATTCCTATAATTTCTTACTTCTTTAATTTTTCATTTCTTCAATTTCTTATTTTTTCAACTTTTCATTTCTTCAGTTTGTCATTTTTACAATTTTTCATTGTTTTAACTTTTCATTTCTCCAATTTTTCATTTTCTCAAATTTCATTTCTTTAATGTTTCATTCTAAATTTTCATTTCTTGAATTTTTCATTTCAAGTTCTTATTTATTGAGTTTTTCATTTGTGCAATTTTTCATTTCTTCAATGCTTCATTTCTTCTCTTCAAATTTTCTCTGGTTTTTCATTTCTTCGGTTTTTCGATTTTTCTGTCTTTCTTTTGTCGTCTTTTTAAGTAGATAGCTTTTGTTTTCCCCCTTTGTTTTGCTCTTTTTTTTAATACATTTTTTGCGCTTTTTCGCGCTTTTTTTTAACTTTTCATTTCACCTATTTTTCATTTCTTCGATTTTTATTTTTTCAATTTTTAATTTTTTTGGAGTTTTCATTTGTTCAATTTTTTATTTCTCAATTTTTCGTTTCTCCAAAATTTTATTTCTTCAATCGTTCATTTCAATTTTTCGTTCTTCAATTTTTCATTTCTCCAAAATTTTATTTCTTCAATTTTCTATCTTCAGTTTTTGATTTCGTCAATTTCTCGTTTCTTCAATTTTTTCATTTATTCAGTTTTTCTGCTCTTTTGTGGTCTTTTTGTCCCTTTTTTATCACATTTTCGCGCTTTTTTTTAACTTTTCATTTCTACATCTTTTCAATTCTTCAAGTTTTCATTTCCTCAATTTTTCATTTCTTCAATTTCTCATTCCCTCAATTTCACACTTCTTTAATTTCTGATTCCTACAATTTTTCATTTCCTCAATTTTTATTTCTTTAATCTTTCATTCTAAATTTTCATTTCTTGAATTTTTCACTTCAAGTTCTTATTTATTGAGTTTTTCATTTCCCCAATTTTTCATTTCTTCAATATTTCTTTAGTTTTTCATTTTTTCAGTTTTTCGATTTTTCTGTCTCACTTTTGTCGACTTTGGCTTTTGCTTTTGTCCCTTTCTTTTTTTTAATCGCTTTTTTGTCGTTTTTCTTTTTTTGAGTTATTGTTTTCTCGTTGTATTTTTTGTTTTTTCGCTGTTTTTTAACTCCTTTTCGGCCTTTTTATCCCTTTTTTCTGCTTCCAAATTATAATTTGTATGTGTATATAGAATTTTTCTCGGGTAAAAAAGTCGTCTAGTGGGCCATGAAATGTATTTTAAAAACAATTGTGTTGGTATTGCACCAATCTGACTCTTATTTGACGTAACTGTCACCCCGAACTAGACCTGCGTTGTTGCCAACGCAATTTTTTTAACACCAAATTCCCCTAGTGGCTAGTGATAGTACATAATCGGGTGTAAATGAGTACTCAGTACTAGTATCGGTTGCAGGTCCACAGGACGGCACCCTCCTCGTGACGTGGCACCCCATCCTCACCCCGCACCACCCCGGCTCCACCATCACCGGCTACGCCGTCTACGCCGACGGCAAGAAGGTGACCGACGTCGACAGCCCCACCGGCGACCACGCCCTCATCGACATCAGCAAGCTCCTCGGCCTCAACCCCAAACACGTGACCGTGCGGACCAAGGCCCGGGACAGCCAGTCGGCCGACTCGGTGCCCACCCCCATCCCCATGCACGCCGTGCTGCGGGGCGGCATCAAGGGCCGCCAGCAGCCGCACACCGCCGTCATGCCGGCCCACATCCGGCAGCAGATGCCGCGCCAGCAGCAGCAGCAGCAGGGCCAGCAGGTTAGTGTCGGTTTGCACGCCGAGCCAGCTTGAGAGCGCTCCTTTGCAGATCATCGAGCCGGACGAGAACCTCAGCGACAAGGAGATCTTCCCCAACACCAACCCGCACCGGCAGGCCGGCTGCATCCCTTCCATTGGTAAAGACCTATGTAGTTTCTAGGGTGGTAGGGGGCCGGAGGGTAGTTAGATTAGAGGAGGAGCGAAATTGGGTAGGGGAGATTGGCATGGCGTAGGTTAGGTAGTTAGTTAGGTAGAGGCTTCTAGAACGTTGGCTTAGGTAGAATTGGTGTCAAATCCAGAAAAACTAATGATTTGCTTAGACGCTTATTTCTAAAAAATAGCACAACGCTCCATTGCAGAAATTACTAAAGAGACGTATGAAGCTAATTTGTCTGAGGACGAAATGTTGGATAGGAGGAATCAGAGACATCAGTATTCGCAGCAAAGACCGTTTAGGCAGGGCCAGCAGCAGAGGGAGCAGCAGCAACAGCAACAGCAGCAGCAGCAGCAACAGCAGACGCAACAGCAACAGTACTACCAACAAGGTAAAAACGAACAGACACTCGTTACACCAAACACACACTCTAACGCGTCTAAAATGAGAAAATTTTGGTCAGAACCGAGGTAGGTAAAGCACTGTCTAGCAAACCGTAGGTTCTGGTATCTGATTAGCTAAATTGAGGGCTCTACGCATGTCTTAGTTATATCGTAACACTAGGGCATGTTTCTTTGACTCTTTTAAAACAAGTTACTAGAAATAGCGATCTACACCAACACACGGAAACTCGGAGGAGAACGAACAAAGTAACATTAATGGAACAAACATTTCTTACAATCTTGGGTAAACTGAACCTTATTGATGCCGACCAATCACAACAAAGCGATCATGCGGCAAATTCAAACTGCAAGTTGCTTTTTCATTTTTGCGATTTTGTGTTTTCGATTTTTTAATTTTGGAATTTTTCATTTCTTCTATTTCCATTTCTTCTATTTCCATTTCTTCAATTTTACATTTCTTTCATTTCCCATTTCTTCACTTATTCATTTCTTCTATTTCCCATTTCTTCCATTTGCCATTTCTTCCATTTGCCATTTCTTCCATTTGCCATTTCTTCACTTTTTCATTTCTTCGATTTCCCGTTTCTTCAATTTTTCATTTCTCCAATTGTTCATGTCTCCAATTGTTCATGTTTCCAATTTTTCATTTCTTTTATTTTTCATTTCTTTAATTTTCCATTTCTTCAATTTCCCAATTCTCCAACTATTCATTTCTTCAATGTTTCATTTGATAACTAATTATTACTTGTTAGCTTGTTAAATCATGTCTCATGGACATTTTCCGTAAATGATTTAAATAAAATTTCTTCAATGTTTCATTTCTTCAAATTTTCACTACCCAATTTTCCATATGTTCGTTTCCCCATTTCCCATTTCTTAGATTTGTCATTTCTTCAATTTTTCATTTCTCCAATGTTTCATATCTTCAATCTTTCATTTTTTCAATTTTTCAAATCTTCAATTTCTCATTTTTTCAATTTTCCATTTCTTCGATTTCTCATATCTCCAATTTTTCAATTCTTCAATGTTTCGTTGCTTCAATTCCTTAATTCTACAATTTCCCATATTTTCAATTTTTTATTCCCTCGATTTCTCATATTTTTACTGTTTCATTTCTTCAATGATTCGCTTCCTCAATTTTTCATTTCTTTCATTTCTTCATTTTTTCATTTCTTAAATGTTTCATTTCCTCAATTTTTTATTTCTTCAATTTTTCATTTTTCCAATTTTTCGTTTTTCTGATGTTTCATTTCTTCAATTTTTCATTTCTGCAATTATTCATTTCTTCAATTTCGCATTTCTCTAATTTTTCATTTTTTCGATTTTCCATTACTCCAATTGTTCATGTCTCCAATTTTCCATTTTTCCAGTAGTTTATTTCTCCAATTTTTCATTTAATGAATTTCTCATTTTTTCAATTTATCATTTTTTCAGTGTCACATTTCTTGAACGATTTATTTCTTCATTTTTCATTTCTTCAATTCTTCTTCAATTTTTCAATTCCTCAATTTCTCACTTCTTCAGTTTATCATTTTTGCAATTTGTCAATACTTCAATTTCACATTTCTTCAATGTATCATTTTTCATTACTTCAATTCATTTTCTTCAATTCTTTTTTTCTTTTTCTTCAATTTTTCATTTCTTTCGATCTTCCATTTCTTGTTTTCCGATCATCTTTGCAATTTCTCAATTCTTCATTTTCACATTTCTTCAATTTCTCATTTCTTCAATTTCTCATTTGCTCAATTTTTCAATTCTTCAATGTCACATTTCTCCAACGATTCATTTCTTCATTTTTCATTTCTTCCATTCTTTTTCCTTCGATTCTTCTTCAATTTTTCAATTCCTCAATTTCCCATTTCTTCAATTTATAAGTAAATAAATAAACTCAATTCCTCAATTTCTCATTTTTTCAATATCACATTTCTTCAACGATTGATTTCTTCATTTTTCATTTCTTCAATTCTTTTTTTTTCAATTCTTCTTCAATTTTTCCTTTCTCCAATTTTTAGTTTTCCCAATTTTTCATTTGCTCAATTTTTCAATTCCTCAATTTTTCATTTGCTCAATTTTTCAATTCCTCAATTTCCCATTTCTTCAATGTCACATGATCAATTTTTCAGTTCCTCGGTTTTTCTTTTCCTCAATTCGTCATTTCTTCAATTTTTAGTTTCCTCAATTTCTCGTTTTCTTCAATTTATCAGTGCAATTCTATATTATTCAAATTGTTCATTTCTCCAATTTTCTGTTTCTTCAATTTTTCATTTCCTCAATTTTTCTTTTCTTCGATTTCCCATTTCTTCAAAGTTTCATTAACTTAATTTTTCATTTCTTTTGGTTCTCATTTTCTCAATTTCTCATTTCTTGAATTTTTCATTTTTTCGTTTTCTCAATTCTTCAAAATTTCATTTCTTCAGTTTTTAATTTCTTCAAGTATTCATTTCTTCAATTTTTTAGTTTTTCGATTTTGTCTGTAATTTTTATTTTTTAGATTTTTTATTTTTCTAATTGCTTATTTCTCCAAATATTCGTTTCTTCATTTTTCCTTTGCTCAATTTATCACCTTTGGAAATTCTCAATTCTTCAATTTTACATTTCTTCAATTTTTCATCTCTTCAGTGTCTCATTTTCTAAATTTTTTCTTTATTTTCCATTTCTTCCATTTCGCATTTCTTCAATTTTTCAATTCTCCAACTCTTCATGCCTCCAATATCATCTCCAATTTCATGTTTTCAACATTTTATATCTTCAATTTTTCATTTCTTCAATTTTTAATTTCTTCAATTTTTCATTTCTTCAATTTTCCATTTCTTCAATTTGTGCACTTTGCAATTCTTCAATTTCACATTTCTTCAATGTATAATTTTTTCACTTTTTATTTCTTCAATTCGTCAATTCTTCAATTGCTCAGTTTCTCATTTCTTCAGTTTATAAACAAATAAAATTCATCAATTTCTCATTTCTTCAGTGTCATATTTCTTCAATTATTCATTTCTCCATTTTTGATTTCTTCAATTATTCATTTCTCCATTTTTCATTTCTTCAATTTTTCATTTTTCCAATTTTTCGTTTCTCTAATTTTCATTCTTCAATTTTCCATTTCTACAATTATTAATTTCTTCAATTTCGCATTTTTTCAATTTCCATTTTTCCAGTTGTTTATTTCTCCAATTCTTCGTTTCTTCAATTTTTCATTTCCTGACTTTCTCATTTCTTCAATTTATCATTTTTTCAATGTCACATTTCTTCAACGATTCATTTCTTCATTTTTAATTTCTTCAATTCTTCAATTTTTCAATTCCTCAAGTCTTCAATTGCTCAGTTTCTCATTTCTTCAGTTTATAAACAAATAAAATTAATCAATTTCTCATTTCTTCAAGTTCTCATTTCTTCAATGTCATATTTCTTCAATTATTCATTTCTCCATTTTTGATTTCTTCAATTATTCATTTCTCCATTTTTTAATTTCTTCAACTATTCATTTCTTCAATTTTTTAGTTTTTCGATTTTGTGTCCACTTTTAATTTTTTATTTTTCCAATTGTTCATTTCTACCATTTTTCGATTCTTCATTTTTCATTTGTTCAATTTATCATCTTTGGAAATTTCCAATTCTTCAATTTTTCTTTTATTTTTAATTTCCTCCATTTCCCATTTCTTCAATTTTTATTTCTCCAACCTTTCATGTCTCAAAGCTTTTATTTTTCAACATTTTATATCTTCAATTCTTCATTCAGTCAATTTTTCATTTTCTCAATTTTTCAATTCCCAATTTATCATTTCTTCATTTTTCATTTCTTCAATTTCCCATTTCTTCAATTTTTCCTTCCCCCAATTTTTCAATTCCTCAATTTCTCATTTCTTGAATTTCTAATTTCTTCATGTTTTATTTCATCAATTTTTCATTTCTTCAATTTTTCATCTCCTTAATTTTTCATTTCTTCAATTTATCATTTTGCAATTTCTCAGTTGTTCAATTTCACATTTCTTCAATGTTTCGTTATATCAATGGTTCATTTCTTCGATTTCCCATTTCTTCAATTTTTATTTATTTCGATTTTTCATTTTTCCAATTGTTCATGTCTCCAAATTTTCATTTATCCATTCCATTTTTCAATTTCATATTTCTTCAATGCTTCATTTTTTCAATTTTTTATTTCTCCAGTGTTCCATTTCTTCAAATTTCTCATTTCTTCAATTGCACTTTTCTGGAAGTTCTCATTTCTTCAATTTATTTTTATACTATTCTTCAATCTTTCATTTCCTCAATTTTTCATTTCGATCTTTCATTTCTTCTGTTTTCCGATTTTTCAGTTAAAATTTTTCAATTTTTTATATTTTTGATTTATCAATTTGTAATTTTTCGATTTTTCATTTTGAATTTTACCTTTTAATTTTTCAGTTTCCCGAAATTTAATTTTTCAATTTTTTCGTTTCTCTTTTTTGAGTTATACAATTTTTCAGCTTCTGAATTTTTCGATTTTTCGTTCCTTCTATTTCCCGATTTGTACTTTTTCGACTTTGGAATTTTTCGTCTTTCTACTTTTGGTTTTTCAAATTTTCGATTGTTCAGTTTTTTTATTTTGGTTTGTTCGATTTTTCACGGTTTGAATTTTTCCATTCTTCATTTTTAACATTTTTCGGTTGGCAGTTTTTCAGTTACACAAGTTTTCTTTTTTGAAGTTTTTGAATTTTTATTTTCCGCATTTTTGGATTTTTGAATTTTTCAAAGTTTCAGTTTTACGATTTTTCAATTTTTAAATGTTTCAATGTGAACATTTTTCGATTCTAGAATTTTCTTGTCCTTTCAATTTTTCGATTATTCAGTTTTTCAATTTTTGGTCTTTAAAATTTTTTGATGTTCCAATATTACAATTTTCAAATTTCAAAATTTTTTTTTACTTTTTCAATTTTCAGTTTTCCGATTTTCAGTTTCTAGATTTTTAATTTTTTTAATATCTTCAGTTTTTGATTTGCAATTTTCTTAAATTTTACAAATAAAATTGATTTTTCAGTGTCAAAATTTTTAATTTCATAATTTTAGTTTCTTCAATACTTGATTTTTCTATTTATGGATTTTTCAGCACGTCGATTTTGATTTTTTTTTTTTCAATTATTCTACAATTTTTCGGTTTGTATTGAAATTTTAAAATTTTCATTTCTTCCATTTTTCGATTTTACAATTTCTCAATTTTCCGAAGTTGAAAAAATTAGAAATCGTTGAAAAATGGAATAATTGAGAAAATTCAAGAAGAAAACCTATACCCTATTTTATAATAAACACTTAAATCCACCACTCTACACTACACACAAACCTGATTCGTTCTCCTCCGGCCTCACTTATTAACTCCGCCTCTAGCCACGCCCTCACCGCCCTCTCGTTCCAGGCCAGTCCAATCAGCGCTCCGCGGTCCAGAGCATGCGCTCCCAGCAGATGCAAGCAGCCCGGGCCGCCGCCAACGCCCCCAACAACCCCAACAACCCCCCCAACCCGCAGAAGCGGGCCCGCTGGTTCGTCGCCCTGTTCGACTACGACCCGGCCACCATGTCCCCCAACCCGGACACCTGCGACGAGGAGGTGCCCTTCTCCGAGGGGGAGACCATCAAGGTGTGGGGCGACAAGGACGCCGACGGGTTCTACCTGGGGGAGTGCCGGGGCAGGCGGGGCTACGTGCCCCACAACATGGTCATGGAGATGGACGGTAACCAGAACAGGGACCGCTGGGGCGACATCTACGCCAACATGCCGGTGAAGCGCATGATCGCGCTGTACGACTACGACCCCCAGGAGCTGAGCCCCAACGTGGACGCCGAGGTGAGAAACTGCTCGAAGGTGGTCGCGGCTGGGGACTGAGGTGCCGCGGAAACCGGGGAGTGGTAGGGGATTTTCGACTCTATTGGTCGGTGCTTGGTCGAGCGGCGAATTCAAACTAGCGTAGATTCGACTTTTGAATTTTTAAATATCCAGTTTTTCGATTTTAGAATTTTTAAAATTTTTTAGTTTTCGAATTTTTCGGTTTTTCGATTTTTCAATTTCAAAAACCTAACAAAATAAAAAAATCTTAAAATTGGAAAATTAAAAATTAAAAATCTAGAAGTTGAAAAATCAAACAATTGCAAGAAATTCGAAAAATAAAAAAATCAAAAATTGAAAAATTGAAAAACGGATAAATCGAAAAATTAAGAAAAACTGGATAATTTCAAAATTGAAAAGCAGCAGAATTAAAAAAAAAATAGCTAAATCGTGAAATTAAAACTACAAAAAATTAAGTAATTAAATCGAGCAACTAAAAAAATCGAAAAAAAAAATCAAAAATCGAAAAATTAAAAGTTGAAAAATCGAAAAACTAAGAGAAAACACTAAAAAATCCAAAAATTGCAAAACCAAAAAATTTTTAAATTCTAAACTAAATTAAAAAACTGAAAAACGGATAAATCGAAAAATTGAAGAAACAAATATTTTCAAAACTCAACATTCAAAATTACGAAACTAAAAAATTATAAAGAAAAATCGAAGAAATGAAAATCCAAAAGTTAAATAAATGAAAAATTGAAGAAACAAAAATTTTTGGAAAGTCGAAAAATTAAAAATCAAAAAACTTAAATATATGAAAGAAAAATTGAAGAATCAAAATTTTCAATTGTTGAAAAATGGAAAAATTGAAGAAACAAAACTCAAAAATGGAAAAATTGAAGAAACGTAACAGTCAAAAATGGAAAAATTGAGGAAAAATAAAACTGAAAAATGTAAAAATTCTAAATTTGAAAAATGAAAAAGTAAAAAATCAGTTTCTCTTCTGCCTGAAGACGGTACTGTGTACCGAAACACGTGTAGCAGTGACTACAAATATATATTTTTTTTTTTTTAAACTCTGAAAGTTTTTTCATTATTATTAAAATTAATATGGAGTTTAAACACGTATCAGCCTCATCAATACAAACAAAAAATCTAATTTAAAAATCCAAAAATAACCAAAATAACTGATGAAAAATAAAAAAACTGAAATTTCGGAAAATTGAAATTGAAAATTTGAAGAAACAAAAAATCGAAAAAATAAAAAATTAAAAATCTAGAAATCAAAAAATCCAAAAGAAAAATTGAAATCAAAAATGAAAATTTTGGAAGTTGCAAAATCGAGAAATTGAAAAATTTAGAAGTTGAAAAGACGAAAAATTGGAAAGTGAAAAAAGAAAACTGGGAATAAAAAAACCCGAAGAAAACAAAAATTTGCAAATCAAAATTTAAAAACCAAGAAACAAAGAAATAGAAGAAAATTGAAAAACTGAAAAGTCGAAAAATGGAATAATTAAAAAATTGGAGAAAAGAAGCTGAAAAGTGGAAAAATAAAAAAATTTACAAGTTGAAAAGTCGAAAAATTAAGAAATCCAAAAGAAAATCCAAAAATGGAGAAGGTTAAAAACAGAAAAAATAAAAAACTGAAGAAAGAAAACTGAAAATAGAAAAAACCAAAATTCGCAAGTTTGAAAAAACTAATCTCAAAATTTTAAAATCGAAAAATAGTCAAAATTTGAAGAGACAAGAATTTTGAATCAACAAATTAAAAATGGACAAATTAAAAATTGGAAAAGTAAAATCAAAAATTGAAAAAGTGAAAAGCTCAGAAATCGAAATATTGAACAAACCAAAAGTTCAAAATTCAAAATTGGGAACTACAAAAATTGGAAATCTGAAGATTAGAGACAAAAAATTTAAAAAATCCAAAAGAAAAAAACCATTTTTGAAAAATTAATAAAATGGAACAAAAAATTTGAAAAATTGAAAAGTTGAAAACTGGAGAAATCAAAGAAAAGGAAAATCGAAAAACTGAAAAGTTTAAAAATAGAAAAGTTAAAAAACTGAAGAAAGAAAACTGTAAATGAAAAATTAAAAAAATTGCAAGTTGAAAAATTGAAAAATTTCAAAATTTTAAAATCGACAAACGGTCAAATCGTAAAAATTCATTGGAAAATCTAAACTTAGAAATTGAAAAGTCGAAAAACTAACTAATACAATTAAAAGGAAAATTAAAATAAAAATAAAAATTTTGATGAATTCAGAAAAACTAGATATCGAAAAATTGGAAAAACAAAAAATTAAATCGAGAAATTAAAAATCTAAAAGAAAACTCGAAAAATTCGATAGTTCGGAGATATAAAAATAGAAAAATACAAAAGCCGACAAATAGAAAAATTAAAAAATAGTTGGAGCCCGAAAAATCGGAAAATTGAAAATTTGAATAACTTTGGAAACTACGATAATTGCAAGTCGAAAAATAAAAAAAATTAAAAAACAAGAAGTTAAAAAATCGAAAACTTGGAAAATCTGGATTTAGAAAAATAAAAAAATTGGAGGAAAATTGGAAAGTGGAGAATCGAAATATTGTAAAATTTACTAAAAAATAAAAAGTGGTAAATAATAAAATTAAATTAAAAATCGACAAATAAAAAATCCATAAGAAAACCGGAAAAGTTGAAAAATTGGAAAGTAGGAAAATAAAAAAATTGAAAAATTAAAAAATCGAAAAAAGTTGAATAATTGGTAAATTGAAGAAATGAAAAATAAAAAAGCTGATTAAATCAGAAGTTGAAAAGTCAAAAAATTGAGAAATCAAAAATTGAAATAAAATAGAAAATATAAAAAATTTAAAAGTTGAAAAACTGAAAAATACATAGAATAACCGCAATATTGAAAAATTCAATTGAAAACCCAAGAAATTTTAAATCGAAAAATTTCAAAATTTAAAAACGGAAAAATTTAGACTTGAAACTCGAAAAATTCCAAATCGATAACCGACGAAACAAAAAAAAAAATAAAGAAATACAAAACTGAAAAATCGAAGAATTGAAAAATTTGCAAGTTCAAATATCGAAAAATTCAAAAATTTTATAAAATCTTATAATTGAAAAATTGTAAAATTGAAAAAATCGAAAAATAGCTTTGTAGAAAATTTGAAAAAAAAAATCGAGAAACTAAAAAATTAGAGAAAACTGAAAAATCGAAAAAAAAAAAATCGAAAAATTGAAGAAATAAAATTAAAATCATAAATTAAGTTTCGAATCGAAAAACCGAAGAATGATAACTGAAAAATTGCATGTCGAAAAATTGAAGAAACGAAAAATGAAAAAATTGAATAAACAAAAAATTGTAAAAATCGAGTTGAAAAATAGAAAAATTTTACAAATAAAGAAAATAAAAAACTGTAAATCCAAAATTGCAAAATTTAAAATTTGAAAAAATTAAACTTGAAAACTTGAAAAATTGCAAGTCGAAAGACTGAAAAATAAAAAAATGAATTTAAGAAACACAAAATAGAAAAATTATAAAACCTGAAAATTGAAAAATCTAAAATTAGTCATACCGAAAATTTGAAGAAACAGAAGAAAAAGGAAGAATAAAAAAATTTCGAAAAAAATCGGAAAATAGAAAAGATCAAAAATAAAGAAATCAAAAGCGTTAGAAATGAAGAAACCAAAAATTAAAAATCGAGAAATCAAAAAATCCAAAAGAAAAATCGAAAAATTGAAAAGTTTAAAAACAGGAAAATTAAAAGACTGAAGCTGAAAATAGAAAATTAAAAAATTCACAAAAAACGTGGAAAAATTGAAAAAGTGGGAAGTTGAAAAATCGATATATCGAGGAAACTGAAAATTGAAAAAAATGCGCACTTACAGATGAGAAACAAAAAATTAAAAAATCAAAAATTTGAAAAACTCAAAAAATCAGCATCGAAAAATCGAAGAGAAAAAAAATCATAAATTGAACAATCAAAAAATTAAAAATTGAGAAACTGAAAGATCTAAAGGGAAAATCGAAAACTTGAAAAGTTGAAAAATCGGATCATTAGAAAATTTAAAAAATGAAGAATTTAAACATTGAATAATAGAAAAATAAAAAAATGTAATAGGTACATAATCGAAAATCCAAAAATCTATAAGAAATTCGCAGAATTCGAAAAATTAAAAATCGAAAAACTAAAAAACCCAAAAGAAAAATCGAAAAATTGAAAAGTTTAAAAATAGGAAAATTGAAAGACTGAAGCTGAAAATAGAAAATTAAAAAATTCGCAGAAAAGTGGAAAAATTGAAAAAGTGGAAAGTTCAAAAATCGATATATTGAGGACACTGAAAATTGAAAAAAATGCACATTTACAGATTAGGAACAAAAAATTAAAAAATCGAAAATTTGAAAAACTCAAAAAATCAAACATCGAAAAATCTAAGAGAAAAACCCAAAAATTCATGAACTGAACAATCAAAAAATTAAAAATTGAGAAACTGAAAAATCTAAAGGGAAAATCGAAAAATTGAAAAGCTGAAAAATCTAAAGGGAAAATCGAAAAATTGAAAAGCTGAAAAATCGGATCATTGGAAAATTTTAAAAATGAAGAATTTAAAAATTGAATAATAAAAAAATAAAAAAATCTAATAGGTTCATAATCGAAAATCAAAAAATTGAAAATTTGAAAAACTGAAAAGGTTGAAAAATATAAATATTGGAAAATTTAGTAGTTGGAAGAACTAAAAATTGAAAACTAAAAAAATCTCGATAAACCCAAAAATTGAAAATTTGAAAAACTCAAAAAATGAAACATCAAAAAATTGAGGAGGCAAAAAACCATGAGAAGTTGAAAAATCCAAAGGGAAAATCGAAAAAATAGAAAAGTTGAAATGTAGAAAAATTAACAAATTAAGAACTAAAAAATTGGAAAGTTGAAAAATCGAAATATTGGAAAAACTCAAAAAATGAATAATCGAAAAACCAAAAATCTATAAAAAATTCGCGAAATTCGAAAAATTAAAAATCGAAAAACTAAAAAATCCGAAAGAAAAATCGAAAAATTGAAAAGTTTAAAAATAGGAAAGTTAAAAGACTGAAGCTGAAAATAGAAAATTAAAAAAATTACAAAAAAGTGGAAACATTGAAAAACTGGAAAGTTGAAAAATCGATATGTTGAGGAAACTGAAAATTGAAAAAAATGCGCATTTACAGATCAGAAACAAAAAATTAAAAAATTGAAAATTTGAAAAACTCAAAAAATCTAAGAGAAAAAAAAATTCATAAATTGAACAATCAAAAAATTAAAAATTGAGAAACTGAAAGATCTAAAGGGAAAATCGAAAAATTGAAAAGTTGAAAAATCGGATCATTGGAAAATTTAAAAAATGAAGAATTTAAACATTCAATAATAGAAAAATAAAAAAATTTAATAGGTACATAATCGAAAATCCAAAAATCTATAAAAAATTCGCAAAATTCCAAAAATTAAAAATCGAAAAACTAAAAAACCCAAAAGAAAAATCGAAAAATTGAAAAGTTTAAAAATAGGAAAGTTGAAAAACTGAAGCTGAAAATAGAAAATTAAAAAATTCACAAAAATGTGGAAAAATTGAAAAAGTGGAAAGTTGAAAAATCGATATATTGAGGAAACTGAAAATTGAAAAAAATGCACATTTACAGATTAGGAACAAAAAATTAAAAAATCAAAAATTTGAAAAACTCAAAAAAACAAACATCGAAAAATTACAATTCGAAAAATTAAAAATCGAAAAACTAAAAAATCCAAAAGAAAAATCGAAAAATTGAAAAGTTTAAAAATAGGAAAATTAAAAGACTGAAGCTGAAAATAGAAAATTAAAAAATTCACAAGTGGAAAAATCGAATAAACGAAAAATTTAAAAACGAAAAAAATGAAAAAATTGTAAAATTGAATCATTAAGAGAAGTGGAAAAATGGGATCATTGAAAAATTTTAAAAATGAATTTAAAAATTGAATAATAGAAAAATAAAAAAATCTAATTGGTACATAATTGAAAATCCAAAAATAGTCAAACTGTAAAAAAAATTCGTTCAAAAATTAATTTAACGGCAATAAGAAAAATTAAAAAATTGCGTCAGTTTGAATTTGAGTACTGATTTGCCCCATCTCAATCATAATTGCATCGACCAAACCTAAGCTAATTAAAAAAAATCAACACTCTTCAAAAAAAAAAAAAATTAAGAGACGATTGTATAATGCAGAGTCGAGAATCCCCGCCCACTCCTTCGCTCCGCCCACCCTTCCCGCCGCCCCTCCCCCTTTTCCGCGTCCAGTGAACTCTACCAGCCCGTTCCGCCCAACTGCAGGTGGAACTGAGCTTCTCCACTGGCCAGATCATCAACGTGTACGGCGAGATGGATGACGACGGGTTCTACATGGGCGAGATCGACGGGGCCCGCGGCCTCGTCCCGTCCAACTTCCTGACCGAGGCGCCCGAGCAGTACAGCGCCGGCCAGACCTCCCAGACGGGCGTGGCCATGTCCCGCGGCCAGCGCGGCCGCGGCATCGGCCCCGGCGCCCGCGGCCCGCCCCCGCCGCCCCGCGAGAACCAGCTGCGCCAGCGGAACAAAGGTACGCCCGGTCGCTCGCCGGGGGCGTTCCGGGAACGCCCCCGGCCGCGACGGCCACGCCCACCTACCGTACGTCGTCTCAGTACTCTGTTGGTTGGCTAAGATCGGCTGGTCATTCCCGAAAGAGGAGTATACGTACCTTGATACCGTACCATCACACACTTGCTCTCTGCTGCCATTGGTCTTCGTTAGAGGGACAGGCCGTTCTTCTAATGAATTGATAAGACAGAGCGGACATGAACAGAGCCACACTAAACAGAGCCTACACTTTTTTTGATATATTTTTATCAATTGTTTTCGGTGTACCGCAAGCGTGTGATGTAAGACGAGTTTATTTCTTCGCTTTTGTCAGTTCTCTTCTTGGAAAGTGAGTCGTAAGAAATAAACTGGAAGCTTTAACTGTTTTTCAATGTTCGGTTTGCACTCATCGAAAATGTATGCCAATCGCTAGCTCTATCTCTTTCTCTCTCAGCTGGTTTTTGACACAACAAGACTCGTCCTCACTTGCATGTGTACATTTGCGTTACTGTAGAAATGAGCCGGGAGGAGCGTCTTGGGGTATCTGTAGGGACAGCGCATGTTTGACTTTAAGCCGAGGAGCGAAAACCGACCGAAACGGACGCCTGCTTCTGGGTCTAACCTCTCCGCACGACCCCATTTTTGGGAGTTAAGCGTTGCGATTCTCACGTCCTGTGTCTCCCCGACAACGCCAAGTTGATGAATTTTACTCCAAAGGTAGCACCTCGTTGTTCTAAACTAGCATCAGTCCTTATTCCTTTACAAGTGGTTTATGAATCCGCCTTCAGTTTTATCATAAACATGCAGATTTTTGGAAAAAAAAATAAAATTGTGTAACATTTTGCAATAAAACTTTCAAAATTCTCTGAAATCTTAAATGTTTCGATTTTTCAAATTTTCGTTTTTTTTTCCGAAAAGTTTTGGAAATTGAAAAAAGGAAAAATTATAAAATCGTAACATGGAACAATTGCAAAATTGAAAAATTGAGAAGTGGCAGCAAAATTTGAAGAAACAAAAAAATCCAAAAATTAAAAATCGGAAATTAAAAAAGTCGAAAAATTGAAAAATCCGAAGTTGAATGATTGAAAAATTGAAAAAATACAAACTAGGAAAAGGGAAAAATTGAAAAATTCCAAGTTGAAAAATCGAAAAAATAAAAAATTTTAAAATCGAAAAATTGAAGAAACGAAAAATTAAAAATCAAGAAATTAAAAAATTTAAAAGAAAAATAAAAAAATTGAAAATGTGTATAAAAATAAAAATCGAAAGTGAAAATCGGAAAATTTAAATTTTGAAAAACTAAATATGTATAGAAAAATCGGAAAATTAAAAAAAAACGAAAAATAAAAAATTGACAAATTAAAAAAACAAACATCGAAAAATTTGAAAAAACAAAAAATTAAATCGAGAAATTGAAAATTGGAAATTGAATACGATAACTGCAAATCGAAAAAATGAAAAATCAAAAAGATTTAAAATTAAAAATCTAGAAGGAATTCGAAAAATTGGAAACTCCGAAAGAGATGAAATAAAAAATTGAAGAAAAATGGAAAAACTGAAAAAATGGAAAATTGAAAAATCAAAATATTGAAAAAATTAAAAGTTGAAAAAAATAAAAATTGATAAATGATACTAAAAATCGAAAAATTAAAAAATCAAAAAATGAAAAATCCAGAAACAAAGAATCTAGAAGAAAACCCGGAAAAATTGAAAAATTTGAAAGTAGGAAAATAAACTGAAAAATTCAAAAGCCAAAAAATGGAAAAAAAAATTTGAAAATTAATTATGGCATTGAAAAAATGAAAATTAATAACGAAAACTGTTAATCGTAAAATCGAAGAAACAAAAACAATTGCATGTAATTCAAAAAACAAAAAATCAAGAAATTAAAAAAATCTAAAAGGAAAATGAAAAAATTGGAAGTTCCAAAATTGAAAAATTTTAAAAATTGGAGGAAAATGGGAAAAGTAAAAATATTGGAAAATCTAAATTTTGAAAAACTTAGAAATTGAAAAGTCGAAAAACTAAGACAATTAAAAGAAAAATTAAAAAATAAGAAAAATTTTGATGAATTCAAAAAACTAAAAATTGAAAAATTGGAAAAACAAAAAATTTAATCGAGAAATTAAAAATTAAAAGAAAGCCAATCGAAAAATAAAAAAATTAAAAACAAGAAGTTAAAAAATCGAAAACTCGAAAAATATGAATTTAGAAAAATTAAAAAATTGAAAGAAAATGGAAAACTGGAAAGCGGAGAATCGAAATATTGTAAAATTTAATAAAAAATAAAAAGTGGTAAATAATAAAATCAAATTAAAAATCGACAAATAAAAAATCCTTAAGAAAACCGGAAAAGTTGAAAAATTCGAAAGTAGGAAAATAAAAAAATTGAAAAATTAAAAAATCGAAAAAAGTTGAATAATTGGAAAATTGAAAAAACGAAAAATAAAAAAGCTGATGAAATCAGAAGTTGAAAAGTTCAAAAATTGAGAAATCAAAAATTGAAATTAAATAGAAAATCTAAAAAATTTAAAAGTTGAAAAACCGAAAAATAAACTGAAAAATCGAAGAATTGAAAAATTTGCAAGTTGAAATATCGAAAAATTCAAAAAATTTAAAAATCTGATTGAAAATTGTAAAATTGAAAAAATCGAAAAATAGCTGTGTCGAAAACTTGAAAAAAAAATCGAAGAGGTAAAAATCGAGAAATTGAAAATTAAAGAAAACTGTAAAATCGAAAAAAACCGAAAATTTGAAGAAATAAAAAAATTAAAATCAAAAATTAAAAATCAAAAAATCAAAAAATATAACAGTAAAATCGAAAAACCGAAGAATTTTAAAATGACAACTGAAAAATTGCATGTCGGAAAATTGAAGAACCGAAAAATGAAAAAATTGAAAAAACAAAAAATTATAAAAATCGAGATATTGAAAAATCGAAAAATTTTACAAATAAAGATAATAAAAAACTGTAAATCCAAAATTGCAAAATTTAAAATCTGAAAATTTTAAACTTGAAAACTCGAAAAATTGCAAGTCGAAAAACTGAAAAATAAAAAAAATCAAGAATTAAAGAAACACAAAATTGAAAAATCGAAAATTAGTCATACCGAAAATTTGAAGAAACAGAAAAAAAGGAAGAATTAAAAAATCGAAAAATAAAAGAATTTCGAAAAAAATCGGAAAATAGAAAAGATCAAAAATAGAGAAATCAAAAAGTTAAAAATGAAGAAACCAAAAATTAAAAATCGAGAAATCAAAAAATCTAAAAGAAAATTGAAAAATTGAAAAGGGCAAAAGTGGAAAAATGTGAAAAAAAAAATTCAGAGAAAAAAACAAAAATGGTAAAAAATTAAAAATTAAAAATCGAAAAATAAAAAATCTAGGAGAAACCGAAAAAATTAAAAAAATTCAAAATCGGAAAGAAAAACTGAAAATTCAAAAGTTGAATAACTGAAAAATTTAAACTTGAAAACTCGAAAAATTACAAATCGAAAACTAATGAAACCAAAAAATTTTAAATCAAAAATCGAGAAATCAAAAAATTGAAAAATGAAGAAATGAAAAAATATACAAGGAAAATAGAAGAAATGAAAATTACAAAAGTGGAAAAATAAAAAAAATGGGGAAAAGTGTGAACATTGAAATATTGGAAAAAAGTTGAAAAACTATAAATTGATAAATGGTAACTGAAAACTAGAGCAATTACAGATCTGAAAATTAGAAATAAAAAATTGAAAAATTGAGAAACAAAAAAAAAAATCGAAAATTTCACAAATTCGAAAAAAAAGGAAAAATTGGAAATCAAAAACTTTAAAATCGAGAAATAACCCGAAAACTTGAAAAATTTGAAAGTAGGAAAATAGAAAAATTGAAAAATTCAAAAGTTGTAAATCCAAAATTGCAAAATTTAAAATCTGAAAAATTTAAACTTGAAAACTCGAAAAATTGCAAGTCGAAAAACTGAAAAATAAAAAAAATGAAGAATTAAAGAAACACAAAATTGAAAAATCTAAAATTAGATGGAAAGAATTAAAAAATCGAAAAAAATAAAAAAATTTCGAAAAAAATCAGAAAATTGAAAAGATTAAAAATAGAGAAATCAAAAAGTTAAAAATGAAGAAACCAAAAATTAAAAATCGAGAAATCAAAAAATCTAAAAGAAAATTGAAAAGGGCAAAAGTGGAAAAATCTGAAAAAAAAATCAGAGAATAAAACAAAAATTGTAAAAAATAAAAAATAAAAAATCGAAAAATAAAAAATCTAGGAGAAACCGAAAAAATTAAAAAAATTCAAAATCGGAAAGAAAAACTGAAAATTCAAAAGTTGAATAACTGAAAAATTTTAACTTGAAAACTCGAAAAATTACAAACCAAAAAATTTTAAATCAAAAATCGAGTAGTCAAAAAATTAAAAAGTCGAGAAATGAAAAAAGATAGAAGGAAAATAGAAGAAATGAAAATTACAAAAGTGGAAAAATAAAAAAAATGGGGAAAAGTATGAAGATTGAAATATTGGAAAAAAGTTGAAAAACTATAAATTGATAAATGGTAACTGAAAACTAGTACAATTACCGATCTCAAAATTAGAAATAAACAATTGAAAAATCGAGAAACAAAAACAAATCGAAAAAAAATCGAAAATTTCACAAATTCGAAAAAAAATGGAAAAATTGGAAGTGAAAAACTTGAAAATGAAGAAATAACCCGAAAACTTGAAAAATTTGAAAGTAGGAAAATAGAAAAATTGAAAAATTCAAAAATTGAAAAATGGAAAAATTAAAAAATAGAAAAAATTGCAAATAAAAAATTAAAGAAACAGAACTGAAATAAAAAGGGAAATTTTAAAAATTCGACAGCTGAAAAATCGAAAAATAGAATAACTGAAAAATTGCATGTCGAAAAATTGAAGAAACGAAAAACGAAAAAATTGTAAAAACAAAAAATTGTAAAAATCGGGACGTTGAAAATTCGAAAAATTTTACAAACAAAGAAAATAAAAAACTGTAAATCCAAAATTGCGAAATTTAAAATCTGAAAAATTTAAACTTGAAAACTGGAAAAATTGCAAGTCGAAAGACTGAAAATAAAAAAAATGAAGAATTAAAGAAACACAAAATTGAAAAATTATAAAACCTGAAAATTGAAAAATCGAAAATTAGTCATACCGAAAATTTGAAGAAACAGAAGAAAAAGGAAGCATAAAAAAATTTCGAAAAAATCGAGAAATATAAAAGTTCAAAAATAGAGAAATCAAAAAGTTAGAAATGAAAAAAATCGAGAAATCAAAAATCTAAAAGAAAATTGAAAAATTGAAAAGGGCAAAGGTGGAAAAATGTGAAAAAAAATTGGAGAGAAAAAAGAAAAATCGAAAAATGGTAAAAAATAAAAAATTAAAAATCGAGAAATAAAAAATCTAGGAAACCCGAAAAATTAAAAAAATTAAAAATCGGAAAGAAAAACTGAAAATTCAAAAGTTGAATAACTAAAAAATTCAAACTTGAAAACTCGAAAAATTACAAATCGAAAATTAAAGAAACCAAAAAATTTTAAATCAAAAGTCCAGTAATCAAAAAATTAAAAAATCGAGAAATGAAAAAAGATAGAAGGAAAATAGAAGAAATGAAAATTACAAAAGTGGAAAAATAAAAAAAAAATGGGGAAAAGTGTGAACATTGAAATATTGGAAAAAAGTTGAAAAACTATAAATTGATAAATGGTAACTGAAAACTAGAGCAATTACAGATCTGAAAATTAAAAATAAAAAATTGAAAAATTGAGAAACAAAAACAAATCGAAAAAAAACGAAAATTTCACAAATTCGAAAAAAAAATGGAAAAATTGGAAATCAAAAACTTTAAAATCGAGAAATAACCCGAAAACTTGAAAAATTTGAAAGTAGGAAAATAGAAAAATTGAAAATTCTAAAGTTGAAAAATGGAAAAATGAAAAAATAGAAAAAAAAATAAATTCAGACGTTGCAAAATCCAAAAATTGCAAATAAAAAATTAAAGAAACAAAGAACTGAAATAAAGTGGGAAATTTGGAAAATTCGGCAGGTGAAAAATCGAAAAATTGAAGGAACGAAAAATGAAAAAATTGAATAAACAAAAAATTATAAAATCGGGACGTTGAAAAATCGAAAAATTTTACAAATAAAGAAAATAAAAAACTGTAAATCCAAAATTGCAAAATTTAAAATCTGAAAATTGAAAAATCGAAAATTAATCATGCCGAAAATTTGAAGAAACAGAAAAAGGAAGAATAAAAAAATCGAAAAATTAAAAAATTTCGAAAAAAATCGGAAAATTGAAAAGATCAAAAATAGAGAAATCAAAAAGTTAAAAATGAAGAAACCAAAAATTAAAAATCGAGAAATCAAAAAACCTAAAAGAAAATTGAAAAGGGCAAAAGTGGAAAAATGTGAAAAAAAATTGAAGAGAAAAAAGAAAAATCGAAAAATGGTAAAAAATAAAAAAATTAGAATCGAGAAATAAAAAATCTAGGAGGAACCCGAAAAATTAAAAAAATCAAAATCGGAAAAAAAAAACTGAAAATTCAAAAGTTGACTAACTGAAAAATTGAGACTTGAAAACTCGAAAAATTAAAAAATCGAGAAATGAAAAAGTATAGAAGGAAAATAGAAGAAATGAAAATTACAAAAGTGGAAAAATAAAAAAAATGGGGAAAAGTGTGAAGATTGAAATATTGGAAAAAAAAGTTGAAAAACTAAAAATTGATAAATGGTAACTGAAAATTAGAACAATTAGAAATAAAAAATTAAAAAATCGAGAAACAAAAACAAATCAAAAATTTCAAAAGTTCGAAAAAAATCGAAAAATTGAAGATACAAAAAAAACAAAAATCGAAAAATTGGAAATCAAAAACTTTAAAATCGAGAAATAAAAAATTCTAGGAGGGAACCCAAAAAATTGGAAAATTTGAAAGTAGGAAAATAGAAAAATTAAAAAATAGAAAAAAAAAGATAAATTCAGGCGTTGCAATATCCAAAAATTGCAAATAAAAAATTAAAGAAACAAAGAACTGAAATAAAATGGGAAATTTGGAAAATTCGACAGCTGAAAAATCGAAAAATAGAATAACTGAAAAATTGAAAATTTTACACTTGAAAACTCGAAAAATAGAAAAAAAATGAAATCAAATCAAAACATTAAAAATCGAGATCTAAAAAAATATAAAAGAAAAAGCGAAAAACCGAAGAATGCAAAAGTAGAAAGATTAAAAAAGTTGAGGAAAAATGTGAAAATTGAAACTTTGGAAAGCTGAAAAACGGAAATATTGGAAAATTAAAAACAAAAAATTGAAAAATCTGGAAACAAAAACAAATCGAAAATTTCAAAAAATTCGAAAAAATATCGAAAAATTGAAAAATCAAAAAATCAAAAATCGAGAAATAAAAAAATCTAGAAGTAAACCCGAAAAATTGAAAAATCGAAAAGAAAAACTGAAAAACCGAAAACTTAAAAATTCATTCATTCATTCATTTGAAAAATCCAAAAAAGCGGGATTTGTTGGGTTATACTTCAGGGGCGAAGGAAGTTCTGTCGAAATAAACTTCGACCAATTTTTTTGTTGTTATAAACAGGAAACTAGAAAGTTTTTATTTTTTAAGAGTCAATTTTTTTTTTAAATGTCAAATTTTAAAATTTACGTTTACCATTTTTGGGTTTAAATTTGAACTACTTGGACAACAACAAAAAAGTAAAATTCATGAACCGTCGACGTCCCCGTCTCCCTTCCCCTTCCACCGAAGCACCCCCAGAGGAGAGAGATAGGGATACGAAATAACCAAGCGTGATGACGTACAAGTAGGTAAGCTTCAGCCCTCAACCTGTCAAGTGTCAAACATGTGCTGTCATAACATTTTCACGATCGTGCACAGATACCATCCAACTGTCATTGTCCAGTCAAAGCAATAAAAAGACGAGTCTTTTTGTGTTGTAAGGCAGCGTCTGACTGTACTGTGTGTTGTCTGTTGCTAGATGCCTGCCCTGTGTTACCCTCTCAGTTAGACAATGCTATCAACACTGCGACACCGAATACACAAGTCTTCACCGAGCACAATCAGGTATTTACGCCAATACTCGCTCTCTCTATCTCTCTCTATTAATATCATTAAGAAGATAGAAGATTACGATAGGGCTATATCTGTTTCATACCATGTCTGTGTTGCTGGGTGTTATTTTTCGTTCTTTTCTTTCTACATCGTTCTCTTTTGTTGACTCGATGTTAGGCCGTAGAGGCGACGCGTGCGCTGCATGATTACAAAGTTGACATATACACAATGTACGAATCGATGTTGTGACTAGTAGAGTTTCAGCTTTTTGTGTACGGGAGGGATGGGAGAGAACAAACGACGCCATTTGCATGACGTGGTCATCATGCAGCGACTACCACCGTACTTACGTAGTTGCGCAAGCGCACAGACCGAGCAGGCGAGGCCGCTTGTTAGGAGTAGCGGCACGGTAGCAGCATGAACGCCGTGAGACACATAGGCGGCGGGAACGAGTAGTCACTAACGCAGTCGTAAGAAAGACGCGGAGACCGCACCCAACCCTAGACCCAGGTTACATACACGACATAGTTTCCCAACCCAGGCTTGAGCGGTACCCCCGATATGGCACCCCCGTAGATTAAGGTGGCCGACTTTGCGGCGCTGTGGAGCGGGACGGAACGAACAATATTAAGCACTCTCGAAATAAAAAAAGTAGTCACGCAATCTCTGAACATTTGATGGTTATGCATTATTTTTTTCGGATAGTATCTCACTATTAAAGTTTAGCGTCGTTATTATCATACATCTCAATATTACTACTTTCAGCAGGATTTGTGTCAGGTAAGCATAAACTTACTTCCATTCATTTTTCATTAATAATATCAATTTTTTGTTAGACGAAATTTTTGATCTTGACAATTTAGTATTTTTTGCAAAACTGGGGGTCAAAATTCTGATTTATTTTTTTCTTCCAATTTAATTATCAAAGCGTCAAAATATTTAAGGCTTGAATGCATGAAATGAGTTTGAGAATTTTCAAAATATTTTTTTGTGTTGTAAAACCTAGATTTTATATACTTTCGAGACATTCTGAATTCCGTCGACTCTCTACATTTTCTGTTTTCAATAAGATCTAGAGATATAAAAGAAATATAATTCGAATATATATATATATATATATAAAAAAATAGAAATGAATATAAACTCCACCCATCGATCAGCAGTTAAGAAAACAACGGAAAAGTAGTCTAGAGTCTCTAGATTTTCTAATGTTGTTAGATTCTGTAAATTATTTTCTCTAGATTCTCACTCCCAAACTGTCTAGACTGTCTAGGTTTTCTAAAGTGTCCATATTCTCTAGGACCTCTATAATCTAGACTTGACAGATTTTTGGGCCTTCTAGTTATTGTAGGCTCTATTATAAAACAGTGAGACTTTAATCGACTTGAATTCTCTAGATTCTCTAGGCTGTCTGTAGTTTCTAGATATTATTCTCTACAGATACTTCCGACTCTACAGTTTCTAAACTGTCTAGGTGCTATAGGTTTTGTGAAATTTCTAGATACCCTATATAAAATTTCTACATTTTCTATTCACTGAACACCCGTTAAACTCCGTAGATTCTCTAAATCATTTTCTCTAGATTCTTAATAACTAAATTATTTAGACTGTCTAGATTTTTTAAAGTCTCGATATTCTCAAAGATTTCTATAATCTAGACTTGATAGATTTTTTTATAGATTTTTGGGACCTCTAGCTAATGTAGGCTCTATAATAAATCATTAGACTCTAAGTACTTTGAATTCTCTAGTTTCTCTAGGCTGTTTGTAGTTTCTAGATATTATTCTCAATAGATACTTCCGATACTTTAGACTCTAAAGTTTCTAAACTCTCTAGGCGCTATAGGTGTTGTGAAGTTCCTAAATACTCTAGATATAGTTTCTAGATACTCTAGATTCTCTGTTCTCTGGACACCTTCTAAACTCTGTAGATTCTCAAAATCATTTTCTCTAGATTCTCAATAACTAAATTGCATAGATTGTCTAGATTTTCGAAAGTGTCCAAATTCTCCAAAGTCTCTATAATCTAGACTTGATATATCTTATAGATTGTTTGGAACCTTAAACTATTGTAGGCTCTATGATAAAACATTTAGACTCTAATCGATGTGAATCCTCTAGTTTCTCTAGGCTGTCTGTAGTTTCTAGATATTCTCTATAGATACTTCCCATAAATTGGACTCTACAGTTTCTAAATTCACTAGTCGCTATAGGTTTTGTGAAGTTTCTAGAAACCCTACATAGAGTTTCTAGATACTCTAGATTCTATATTCTCTGGACACTCTCTAAAAGTCCGTAGATTCTATTAAATCATTTTCTCTAGATTGTCAATAGGGTCTCCGTGTTCTTTAAGATCTCTATAATCTCTAGATAGATTTCATAGATTTTTGGGAACTCTAGCTTCTGAAGGCTCTTTTATAAAACAGACTCTAATCGATATAAATTCTCTGGATTCTCTAGGCTGTTTGTAGTTTCTAGATATTATTCTCTATAGATACTTTTCATACGTTGGACTCTACAGTTTCTAAACTCACTAGTCGCTATAGGTTTTCTGAAGTTTCGAGAAATTCAACATAGTTTCTAGATACTCTAGATTCTATATTCTTTGGACATTTTCTAAACTTCGTAGAATCCATTAAATCATTTTCTCTAGATTTTCAATACCTAAAGTTTCTAGGTACCGCAGATAAAGCTTCTAGATTCTCTAGATTTTCTATGCTCTACACATCCTCTAAAGTCCGTAGATTCTCTAAATCATTTTCTCTAGACTGTCAATACCCAAATTGTCTACACTGTCTAGGTTTTCTAAAGTCTCTGTATTCTCTAAGATCACTATAATTCAAAATAGATAGATTTTATAGATTTTTTGGGCACTCTAGCTTCTGAAGGCTCTTTTATAAAACAGACTCTAATCGATTTGAATTCTCTGGATTCTCTAGGCTGTCTGTGGTTTCTGGATATTAGTCTCTATAGATACTTCCCATACTTTGGACTCTACAGTTTCTAAACTCACTACTCGCTATAGGTTTCGTGAATTTTCCAGAAACCCTACATAGAATTTCTAGATACTCTGGATTCTATATTTTCTGGACACTCTAAACTCCGTAGATTCTATTAAATCATTTTCTCTAGATTTTCTATGCTCTACACATCCTCGAAAGTCCGTAGATTCTCTAAATCATTTTCTCTAGATTGTCAATACCCAAATTGTCTACACTGTCTAGGTTTTCTAAAGTCTCCATATTCTCTAAGATCTCTATAATCCAGAATAGGTAGATTTTATAGATTTTTTGGGCACTCTAGCTTCTGAAGGCTCTTTTATAAAACAAACTCTAATCGATTTGAATTCTCTGGTGTCTCTAGGTTGTCTGTGGTTTCTAGATATTATTCTCTATATATACTTCCCATACGTTGGACTCTACAGTTTCTAAACTCACTAGTTGCTTTAGGTTTCGTGAAGTTTCCAGAAACCCTACATAGAGTTTCCAGATACTCTGGGTTCTATATTTTCTGGTCATTCTCTAAACTCCGTAGATTCTATTAAATCAATTTCTCTAGATTTTCAATACCTAAGGTTTCTAGGTACCGCAGATAAAGCTTCTAGATTCTCTAGATTTTCTATGCTCTGCACATACTCTAAAGTCCGTAGATTCTCTAAATCATTTTCTCTAGATTGTCAACACCCAAATTGTCTACACTGTCTAGGTTTTATAAAGTCTCCGTATTCTCGAAGATCTCTATAATCTAGAATAGATAGATTTTATAGATCTTTTGGGCACTCTAGCTTCTGAAGGCTCTTTTATAAAACAAT